GTCTCCTGCTTATCTCTGCAGGTCTGCAGTGGCTAACACGAGAGGTTAGTCTTCAGTACGGACCACTGACGGCCCGAGTGCAATTGGAGTCTGCACAGCAGGTGAGCTGTAGCTGCATGCATACGTACAGTCATGCCTGCCTGCTATGCACACACTGTAGCCATGATGGCTTTATGCAGAGTGTGAGAGAAGAAATGGGGTTGGGGACTTACCGTGTATATTCCCGATTTAATAAGTCACACCCCGCATTTTCAGGTCTTAGCCAAATTGTTTCAATATACAGTGAAACCTGTCTAAGCCGACCACTCAAGGGACCTTCAACGCGTGGTCTTTGTTACCAGGTGGTCTCCTTGCCCAGGGTCATTAGACTGGAAATAGCATCTCTTGGTCCTGGTTTCAGTGGTTCTTTAGGACAGGTGGTCGCCTTATCCAAGTGGTCGCCTTGACAGGGGTTTTACTGTTATCACACCAGTAACATGTCACGCTCAATGATAACTCACATCCCCTTCTTCGCTTTTGAAATTTGGTGAGAAAATGTGTGCGCCTTGTATTCGAGGAAATGCGCCGGTTCACATAATCCCACTGAGAAATCTGTGTAGGCTTGATTCAGCGGGCTGAGTCATGAATGTTTTCCATGCAGAACCAGGACCGGCAGAAGTAGTTTCTTGATTGGTCTGACCATACCCTAGCCATTCATACCGTATTATCTCTAATATAAGCACAGTCTCCAATAATAGCACGTCTCCAATAATAGAACACCTTGGGGCGACATTCAAAAAATAAAGTGCTCAGTCTCCATTATAAGCACACTGTGTAAATTCGGAACAAAAAATGGAACAGTCTCCAATAAAGGAACGTCTCCATTAATAGCACGGGGCGGAGGTACATCGAAAAAATAAAGGACCGTGCTTATATTAGAGATAATACGGTACTTGTGTATGATATGGGGGTATACATGTATACTGGTATGCACCACCTCTCAGCAGTACACACACGTTGCTGTCTAAAATGTTGGTCCGGCCATGGCCTGGCCAACCGGACCGGTTCCGCCGAGCCTGAGAGAGTTTCTCTGATCCAGCTTGCTTGCCCTTACCCCGGCCCTGTGCTCGGCTCTGTGCTCTCCATGACAGGAGGCCGCTGAGCAACGTCAGAAGAGAGAACGACTCAACAAAATGCACTCGGTGCGTACAGAACGGTAAGTGGACCGAGCACTGCAGCACATGCAGGATGGGCAGAGACAGCCTTGTAAGAATGTGCAGCACATGCAGGATAGGCAGGGACAGCATTGTAAGAATGTGCAGCACATGCAGGATAGGCAGGGACAGCATTGTAAGAATGTGCAGCACATGCAGGATAGGCAGGGACAGCATTGTAAGAATGTGCTGCACATGCAGGATAGGCAGGGAAAGCATTGTAAGAATGTGCTGCACATGCAGGATGGGCAGGGACAGCATTGTAAGAATGTGCAGCACATGCAGGATAGGCAGGGGCAGCATTGTAAGAATGTGCAGCATATGTATGTCACCATGGGACTGGTGAAGATAAGAATATCCCGGCAGCCGCCGTAACATGCAGTGTAGCCTTATTGCGTGCATAGTATCATAATTATCGAATGACATACACATGATTGTACCTATTGAGTGGAATTACTTGGGTGCTGTGGAGCGAGGAAATAGAAATATCTTCAATGCAGCATGAGCACTGCCCACGCTTACATGAGCCCTACAGTACAGCCATGGTCTCGTGTAATGGAGGAGTGTTTCTGCATGCCCTGGTCTACACTGCTTATCTGTAGAGTGTCCGTTGCGGAGGAGTCGGCGGTGTCTGAGGTGCTCGCAATGGCGCCGGCAACCACACTGAGCGCACCACAACCACGGCGGGTAAGGGTGTGTGAGTACGAATGTCTTCTAACTGCAGGGTGTTTCTTTCTTTCTTTTTTATAAAGCCCTTGCTAAACCGCTTGCTGATATTAATCTTGAAGATGCAATCTTGCTCGCAACAGCACGTACGCTCCAGTGTGATGCAATACACAATGCCCTTGCAGGTAATCAGCACGAGCCAGGAGCACTGAGAAGTCGATCCAGCTGTACACTGTCCACTGTCTGCTACTGGAAGACGGAAGAGCCGGGCTGATCTGATAGAATTGGCATGAAGATGTGTGGACGGGACCAATGACCATTGACCTACTACACTGAGTACAGCATGTGCTATGCATTCAGCCTGCCGTCCTGTAATGCAGCTACTTTCCATCACATAGGGATGTGTGGATATACAAGTGCACCTCAGTGCTGGACCATGACACTCAATCAGGCAGCTTACTGAGTACATGCAAGTGAAGTTGAAGTAGTACAGTTCACAGCAACTACCGTATATTCTCTATTATAAGCACAGGTCTCCATTACTAGCACAGTCTCTAATACTAGCACACTGTGAGTACCTTTCGAAACATTATAAGCACAGTCTCTATTACTAGCACGGTCTTTGTGAAAATCAATGCTGCATGCATAATATCTAGCATGTATTTCTTCTTGCTCTGTATGGATGTATTGGTTGAAAAAATATAAGCACGGTCTCCAATATAAGCGCGGTCTCCAATATAAGCACGGGGTAGAGGGGTGTTGAAAAAATATAAGCACGGCGCTTATAATAGAGAATATACGGTATGTTGCTTTCCTGCGATGCCAGGGGCTTGATACGTTCCGGGCTCAACATGCGAGTGGATTCAATACACCCGCCCATGATGGCTGTGCTCTGTCGCTCTGTAAGTTCTCTCTGTCTGTATGTCTGTCTGTCTGTCTGTCTGTCTGTCTGTCTCTCTCTCTCTCTCTCTCTCTCTCTCTTTCTCTCTCTCTTTCTCTTTCTCTTTCTCTCTCTCTCCCTCTCTCTCTCTCCCTCTCTCTACTGAATGCAGCGGCACAGTGAGGATACCGTAAGAAACACGTCCGCAAACACCACGGCAGAGGCTCAGCCTAGCACCAGTGCCGTCCCCGGGGCCCCCGTTCTAGGCTCGAAAAGAGAGTCCACACAGAGTCTGCAGCTACCGGAGGCGGAAAGTCCAAGATCGGAGGATGCTTCGTCGGGGCAGTCATCACCACCAGTTAAATTCCCTGTGACACTTGCCCCGGCAGACCCCATATCTGGCTCTGGTATGTCTGACTCGCATCTGGCACCATCACCGGAGAAGTCTCGCAGCTACAAGCGGCGCTCAAAGGGTGCCGTGGAACCCATCATGGCCCCCCAGGTGCTCATGCCCATACCGCACCACCGAGTCAATGTAAGTCTCTTCTCCAGCCCCGTGGACACATCACTGCCCCGTGGTGACCCGTGCATGGTTGCAGCTAACCGGGGACTGCCACACGCCACCGCCGAGACCCGCTCAGAACTCGACCTGCATGGCTCGGCTCATCCACAGTTTGTGCCAGATGAGGCCGGGGGCTCTTTCGCACAGACCCAGGCTAACTCAAGCGCCAGCAAGGCTGGGAGAATACGACTGGAGCCGATAAGGACTAAGCGCAAACAACAGTCGTTCACTGCCGCCAATCAGAGCAATTCCGCACAAGCTCTCTTTACACCGCGGAGAGTGAGTCCGCCATCAACGAAGGGCCAGTGAACGAGTTGATGAGTGATATGGGTAGGGAGTACAGGCTGTATGTGGCGGTGTTTGGACAATGCCACATCTCTCCACGGGCTGTGTATGGTGTGCTGGGACAATGCTACATGGCACCACTCTCCATCGACTCCAACTCACTGCATACATGCACTACTGCACCGATGCTCTTTTCCCTGTCTGACGAACAGCCGATGGGGACCATGCTCAGCATGCAGTACTGTGCCTGTGTTTTGCGTGGACTGGCTGCGCCAAAACTCGGCGATAAAGCTGTATTGGAGGACCGCCGTCTCAGCTTTGAGTTGCCGTGACAATGCCGGCAGCGCTTACATCAACATTGGATTCACTACTGGCAGACGAACAGCTAACAATTCAACTTAACAACAGGACCCGATGACCCGATGACAATGACACCCTTGAGCTCAACTAGATGAATGGACCCCATGGCTATAATTATAACTTTAAATGTAGTATTTGAATCCGCTACGATAATAATTCTCTTGATTACCGGTATCCCTATTTCATTTTAATAACGCTCAGCTACATACACACTCCTGAGCATCCAGCAGAGTGGGAACTGAAAACAGCTCCATCGGCCACTCTCTTTGGACTGCACTGATTTATAAAACCATTGAATGATCGTCTGCTACACATCTCATGCAACTCATGCATGTGCTGAGAAAATCTCTTGACGTTTATTTGACACATACCGCACATGTTCAGGTTACAAGAAGAATCCATTGATACAGATTTGTGGATTACACAAGTTGACAGTGACAAATAAGCACTTGCGCATACGAAAAAAAGTTTAACCCCCCCCCCCCAAAATTTAAAGCATTTTGCCATAGGAACTCGAGCTGAAGGTGCCCGGTAGAGAGATGTGCCCGTATCTGAGGCAGCCGGATAAGAGAAGTTTGAGTGAACCAGCACTTATAATTATTAGAGAGGTTCCGCACTACGTAAAGTTGAGCAACTTTACGTTAGTGGGCGGGAAAAACCCGTGAATTCGCGAGTTTGCACTCCACTTACGGAAAGTTGTCTACGGAGAGTACGTAGATAGGGCTCTGATAACGTAGCTGGTCCGTAAGTGGATTGGGGTACAAATTTATGACTCTCTCCCCAGGTCGATCTGGTCATACACTGCCGTGTTCGGAGTTGCCAAGGGCAGCTACGTGATTTGAAAACTCCGTATGGCAGAACCCAGATGCACATGCAGTTTACGTAAGACTTTCCGTAGATCGACTACGTTTTTTACTAACGTAATTACGTTATGCGGACCCTCTCTATTATGTACATTAGCACACGACGTGTGTATATCAGCATCACAGTGAGTATCAGAGTGAGATGTGTGCATGCAACCAGTTCTGTGGCTTGACTCACTGCAAGGAGTTGCCCAGCTCAAGAATGATGTTAAACCCTCGTTTCCATTTTCTTTCCAAAGCATTTTTTCTAGTTTGTTGCATGACATGCTGCAATAAGTTGCACTTTTGTAGTCTCCGCTGTATGCCTGGCCTTACAAGGCCCTGAGCATAACCCTCTGTAGGATCATGTGCGCGATTCCGTACAAGACTCTTTCCAAGATCCAGTACACAGAGAGTCAGCTGGCTTGTGGCTGGCTTGTGACTGGTGACTGCCACACAGTGTCAAGGGAGAACCAACAGCGAAACACACTAGTCATTACGGGTAATTTAGATGTGGACTTGTCTGATTCTAGCCCAACGAACAGAATGCTAACACCGCCGTGAATTGTGAATCAACAATAACCTGCACTGGTCATTGCATTGTTGACTTGTTCGGATTAATGAAAAGCTGAAGCTGAAGATCGAGACAGTTGAAAGGAATTTTGGAGATAACAATAATGAACGAAGTGCCTGCAATTGAGTCGACGCACCCTTCGAAAGGCTGAAGATAAATTAGATAATACTAAATGTTGAGATAACTTGTTCCACTTGCTGGCTTAGAGCAGCCGGAAATAATTGATTATAGCAAGATAACGAGATAGGCGTTTAGACTGTGGAAGTCATAACCCAATAAATACTTGTAGGGTGCTTCAACTGCACCTACTGCTGCCGAGACGGAGAGAGAGGACACAAATACACACTTGAGTAGAAGCTTGTGAGCTTTGAGTAGAGGTACCAGCTTATAAGGATGACATGGTGTTTCAAACCGGTCTGATACCTAGGATGGATAAACCTCTGCTTGACGGCTGAATTTCACTGGGTTTCTACACCCCGCTCGTCGTTGGAGTTCTTGTGCAGCCGTGTTTTCTAGTATGCATCACAGGGGGGACAGGGACCCGCTCCATGCCATCATTCGGACTTGATGGACGGGTACAGAGGGTCGCAGCTATTTCCAGCTCTACCTGGGGGCTGCTGGATGTGCAAGGAGTCAGGTCGCTGGACGGCGCTACAGACGTGTTGCATTCGCCACACATTCCAGTACCCACATCAGGTGAAGCGCCAACATTGAAGCCGAGTCTACTGCTCAAATGCTGCGAAGATACCGGCTTTGTCTGTGTGGACTGGCAGTCGCAGGAGATCAGCACGCGATGAATTCAATATAAGTTGGGTACTATACCATACTCCCATGCTCGTGGTAGTCTGCTTATCAAGGCGGGCATGCACCCCTGAATTGCATCGTGCTCACACTGCACCACCAGTTACTGCCGTCGTTGACCAAGGAGTGCTGGACAGCCACGGGAACCAGGTCTTGCCGAAGCTGAGCAGGGTGTTGCGCTGCGGCGTGCGCACGCGTCCGTACACTTCGTTGTCGTCTGTCGCCGTCGCCGCTGAACCCTACACGTATGAGCGTGTGTGACAGGGCAGAACAAATGAATTAGTACGTGCACGCGCACAATGTACTGACGACCGTATTACAGTCAAACTTCTACAGGACAAACACCGCGTGGTGGAAAGAATTTGTTTCCATTAACAAGGAGTTATTTTTCTTCATAACCGAGAACTTCTTCTGCGGACTTTATACGCGATGAGAATGCCGCAGCTGGTCAATAGTTTTCTTGTTTGTCAAAAGTAAAAGTTTGTCATATCAGTGCTCTTCTTTTTGGAAACGTTCCATTGGGCATGTACTTGAAGTAGTACAGTCAAACCTGGTTAGGACGAACTTCAAGGGACTGAACAAATTTGTTTGTCTTATCGGGAGTTCTTCTTATCCAGATCTGACAAAAAATCGATATGCATATCAGATGGATTGTATTTACGTGAAGGTGCATGCTATGGTACATGGGAAGCATGTTATTCTTAGCATAAGCCAGAAACAGGTACATGTAAGTACAATGACAAAGTGCAATGAATCACGACTGTGTCGAAAGTTAGTTCGTACAACGCACTGATTATTTTGTTCAAAACACGCTTGAAAACAATTTGCACTGTACGTAAAGTAATGACCTCGACTATTGAAAAAAAGAAGAAAAAAGGCAGCCAGCGCACGCGCACGCTCGTGGACCGAAAGTTCGTACTACATGTACATGACCACACTGACTTTGTTCAAATCACACTTGAAAATAGTTCGTCTTCGCGAAAGTTCGCTGTACAGAAGTTCGTCTTAAACGAATAATTTTGACTAGAATTGATGCCTGGCCAACCATAGGATTGACCTTAGTTCTTACTAATGGAAAGTTCGCCTTATCAGTGTTCGTCCTAACGAGGTTTGACTGTAGTTGAAAATAGGTAGTGATGAGATACGCATGGTGGCCAGCGTGCGGCCATGGCTCACAACGAGAGTGAGTCTTTACTGAGATGACCACACGTTTGCGAGCAGCAAAGTGCACAAACAATTTCTACACATGCATACCCCCCCCCCCCCCCCCCCCCACACACACACGTCACACTTGCATGCACACTTGCATGCACACACACATACACGCACGCACGCACACACACACACACACACACACACACACACACACACACGCGCGCCACACTTGCATGCACACACACAGATGAAAAAACGCATCAGCTAGACCGTCTCACCTCTCCATTCATGTTCTCATCACTTTTGGCATTCTGCGCAGCAAGAGAGAAAGCCTGAGGAGCACAGAACACCAGATAAACACACGTATTAAAGATGGGTAAACAATGCCAGCTGCAATTACATGGTCAACAAATTTTAAAAAAAGGTTGAGTTGACATTGTAGCAAGAAGGACCCATGAGTGTGTATGATCCCCGGTAGCCTAATCCGTAGGGCACTGTCCCGCAAAGACAGGGGCGCTGGGTTCGAATCCCGCTCGTGGATCCTTCTTTTGCAACAACATGTACAGCTACACATGTGTATTGGCATGGTTTCATAAAGCAAGCTTACTTTTCGACAGGCAGCGTACGACTCCAATGCAGGCGCGCAGTCCTTCGTGACATTCACGACCTTAGGCAAGGGAGACACACATACACACACACACACAGACACATTGCATGAAAACTGAGCAAGAGTCAGCAATAGTACATGTGTACGTTGATCAGGCTTCCTACTGGCTTCAAAACACACACGCAATTCTCGTAAAATCCTCAGAATAGATGTTCCCTCAAACCTGTCTGTCCCTCCCAAACCAGTGAATAGATGTTCCCTCAAACCTGTCTGTCCCTCCCAAACCAGTGAATAGATGTTCCCTCAAACCTGTCTTTCCCTCCCAAACCAGTGAATAGATGTTCCCTCAAACCTGTCTTTCCCTCCCAAACCAGTGAATAGATGTTCCAGTGGTGATTATTCCCCTAATCCAAACTTCCCAGATTCAGGCACTCCCGTCAACTGGGCACCTTTCTTACCCATCGTGGCTTACAAAACCGGGCCTTTCGAGGGAAATGGCGCCACATATTATTGATAGGCGTAAAAAAAAAAAGTTGTGCATACAATAAGTATAATTATAATTAATTATGTTCTGAGTTGTGGGCAATTCTTAATTACGCCCCAGTACACACACGCATACTCGAACCACCAGCAGCACTACCATGCAACACAATCATACCTTGTCAAGGACAGCCTGTGCTCTCCGCCGAGCAAACGATGATGATAGGTGACAGCTGAGCTCTATGTGACACCTGGAGCGTGCACATAATATACACCCATGCACACATGCACGCACGCACACATGCACGTACACACACACACACGCAGACCATCAGAGGTGTACACATAATTGCTGTAGCGTGCAGACATAAATGCGATATCGGTACATGTACTGTACTGGGTGCGTGTATTACAGTCACGCTAAACAAAACATAGCTAAGTAAATAAAACAATGCCTGAGAAACACACACACACACGCCCCCCCCCCCCCCCCCCCCCACACACACACACACACGCCCCCCCCCCCCACACACACACAGAAAACCTTGTCGAGATTCCTACCTGGCATGAGCGAGACAAGCTACCGCCACCTCGTGTGTTCCTTGACAGCGTTGGCTGGTGATTGGTTGCAAGTCCAGTGCTGCAATCCGACTCAGTGGGGAACTCTCTGCCGGGGTCTTCTTACTGGCGGCGAGCTCACCATCGTTCTCAAGCTCCTTCTCCTCACTCTCCAGCACATGTTTAGGCTTGAGTAGCTGAATGATGGGTGCGGGTTCATAGCGCTGAACAAGCTCTTCGGCGTCTACCTGTGCATCGTCAGCGCAGCCAAACGTCTGCGACCACTGCTTCAGGACGGCGTCGTAATCAACGCGGTCCAGTCCGCGCAAGCAGCTGCAACTGGCGCAGTCGGTCGGCTGCGCGATGTGCGTGCCTTGAGCCTGCTCAGACTCCCCACCAGTGCTCTCTGAGCGTGGCGCTGGACACCGGCACGGGCCTAGATCAGCGGCTGAGGTGTACGCCGCGTAGAGCGCTAGCCACGAGTCGAACGTGATGTGATTGAGCCAGATGCAACGCTGCCGACAAAGCAGCTCGTCTGTACGTGATAATTGTCCCGGTGATATGAACGAGCAAACACACATACACACACACATAAACATGCATAAACACACGTGCACACACACACACACACACACACACACACACACACACACACACACACACACACACACATACACACATACACACACACACATACACACACACACACACACACACACACATGCGCGCACGCACGCACGCAAGCAGTGGACAGCATCAATATGAAAAAAAGCTGAGATACCACCTGCAGAAGAAGTGTGATGAATCAAAACCCATGTGCGGGCGAGTGACTTGAACCGATCATTCTCAGACTGGGCAAAGATGAAAGGTTTTAGCAGGGTTCTAGCCAGGTCCAAATAGTAGGGGGGGGGGGGGGGGGGGGGGGGATGGGAAACAGCTACCCCGTATCCCATTTTTTTCACTTTCCAATATTGTCTTGCCACGCTGAATGCAACGTATGGGGCGAATCCCCGACTTCGCCCGAGACAGATGTGCCTTTATGAAACATCTAATAGTGACTTTCGATAGCATTTTTTTTTAATTGCAAGGGAACACGAAAATCGGAAAATGAGTAGGGATCGCGGCGCCCCCTACTATTTGGCTAGAACCCTGGTTTTAGCAATAGCGACTTTGCAGCTTCATAACACAAAACAGACTTTTCAATTTCTAAAGCCCCCCCCCGGCATGCACACCCCCGGCATGCACATCTAATACTGGTAGCAATGCATGTACAGTCTGTGACCTTCACAATAGCCTGCCCATACCGTGAAGTCGTCCAGCACAGAAGAAGCAGTCAGCCACCAGCTGCCAAAGCGAGAGGTCATTAGGAGTTGCAACCAGCTAAATTAATGAGTGACGTAGCACCACACACACATAAACGCATGCACACACATACACACGCGCATGCACACACACACACACACACACACACACGCGCGCACGCACGCACGCACGCATACATATACACATGCGCAAATACACAGCGAAGTTACCAAGCAGTGTGAAAGACACCCAGTAAACTTATACACAATCGAAATAATTGTTACACTGTTGAGCTCGAAGTGTGGTACATACCGTAGTGACGCACATAAAGGCCCATGCACTTATGAGTGAGTTTTTGCGTTATTTGCTATTTTTTGCGGGTCGTTTCGTCTCACACATAGGCGCGTGCGCTTGAGTTGCTAGTGTACCGGTACCATGCATAATTATGCACATAGTGCAATGCCACAATGCGCATTGAACTATGTGAATATGGTGTTTTGTGGTGTCTGTTTGTCGCGGGATGGACTGCATTTAGGTTCACTTAAAAGCCCATGCGCTGAGGGTGCGCTTATGCCCGGGTATAGGCACATGTGCTTATATGCGTGTCACTACGGTAAATTCAAAAACTGTAGCGGAAGTGGACAAAACCATCAAAAGCGTCAGACCATCTTCATGACGAGCAATCGTTCATGTCCACTGTTTGGGAGCTACAAGATTGGTAAGTGGTGTGTGACGGCACACCATTTTCACCTCTATCAGTGGGGATCGAAACCAGTGGAGGAAGGGGATACTGGAGGCCCTACTATCGATCGAAGTTTTACTTTACATCGCAAAACCGAACCGATTGTTGTCTTCTTGTGCGACGTTGTGCTTTGAACGTTTTCCGTGATCTGTGAACCCTTTGCGTAGCTTTTACTTCTTGTCATGCTGGCTCAGCCGCTGTATTTTTAATTCTGTAGTTTGAAAGTCGTGATAGTGGTAGCGCCGGTAGCAGAAGAACGGTGGTACATAAAAAATAATCATGAATTTGGCGTTTTACAGCAGAGTAGGAGCTAGTGAGGTACAGTGTAGTAATGTCACGCCGCTAGTTCATTTCTTGTTTTTCCAAGAGTGGCCCTTGAGCCGGCTCTTGTGATGGAAACTATTAGAGGACGTATCGACGTGATTGGCTCAAAACGTCCCTTTGTCCCTTTTTGTGGAAATAGTGACGCCATATGCCACATCTATGGCATTTCCCCATCAAAATGTATGTGATTCGGAGTTACGGACATTTCAAAGTTACGGTCAGTGCCCGGTCCCGGACCGCTCGGATAAACGAGGTATGAGTGTACTTGCTGTGTTTTATTGATGCATACCTCCATCACCGTGTAAGCCCATCCGATGGCCCTTTTTTGTATCAGATCAGTCCTGAGCTTATCTGCATGATTCTACCGTCTTATTGTGTAAGTTTTGGTTTGGACTTTTGATTTGAACTTTTTTTGGTTTGCGTTTGAAAATCTTTATGTTACACCACTGACCAATGATATAGCGAGTGGCAGTGCAACGCTGGCATGCTCCAGACGCAGTGCACAGTGCACAATGGTCTCGGTGAAGTCACGCTGCAAGCTAGTCCGGTGCTCCGGCGTGCATCTATATCCGTTTGTTGTACATGCAGAGACAGACAGACAGACACAGATACGCAAAGACACACACACACACAGATGTAGACAGACATAGACAGACAGACATAGACAGACATAGACAGACACAGACAGACACAGACAGACACAGACAGACACAGACAGACACAGACAGACAGACAGACAGACAGACAGACAGACAGACACAGACAGACACAGACATAGTTATACAGTTGTACTTGTACTTGCTCACTGCCAAAACTGGTCACGTGAGTCTCCCCGGGAGAGGGGAGAGAGACTCAAAAGGAATCTTGGAATTCTGACTCAACTGACTATCAAACCGCCCAACGGTCGATATCCCCTGAAATCCCGAAACTCTGAGTGGACTTGGAAATGATCCCACTCATGGGATCATCTCACGTCAGCAAGGGGGCGAGGACAAGGTGCAAACACACACACACACACACACACACACACACACACACACACACACACATGTACATGTACGCATACACAACGTTCAAACAATACCCATACAGCGTGATAGGCATATCCGCAAGCACACACACACGCGTGCACACACACACACACACATACACACACACACATAAACACACATGTAGTAGAGTACACACACACAGCTGCCACTATGTAACTAACTTGTGTCCAGCCAAGGCACAGGACAGTGCAGCGTGATAGCTTTTCCGATGATAGAAGTAGTCTGTGCAGTATTTCAACTTCTCACATCCAGGCTCAAACGAAGGCTCGGTCGACTTGGGGACGGCGGCGGAGGCCAAGCTCGGTGTTGGTGAGTCGGGCAAGGGTTTTCCGTTCGGTCCCTTGATCAGATAAATACTGCTCATAAACCACTGTAAGCAGAACGAATACACAACACACGAATACAGGCAGAATGATGTCTGGTGACAGTGGCTGCAGCTTGCCACGCAATGTTCAATGCTACGATGCCATGCTGGGGTACATTGAACACCGGCCCGGGGCATGCTTGGACATGCAGGATGAGTGTTTCATTTACGGGCGGTACATTACAGATCGAGAAGCCCGTTTCGGAATAGTCGGCAGTCTGCATTCCAATTGTGCACCGGCATTTCGTTTATGGACTCTGGTGTACTTGTCAGAACAGTTGCCTACTCCTGTTTAGTTTCCAGATGCGGTGTCGATCTCATGATTATCACCATGGAAATGAAGTTGAGGAAGTGGGCAAACAGCAAATGTGAGTGGTATGAGACAGATGGACACTCCTATAATTATCAGTCGCTCCACCACTACACAATGAGCTTCAGTCATGGCCAACCCCTCCACTTGTTATCACCACCATTCCATCATGATTTGATATTATCAGACCCTCCGGACAGCCGTTTCGTGCAAACTGAGCTTATCAATGAAGGTACAGTCAAACCTCGCTTATCCGGTCCTCTTTTATCCGGATCCCTCGCCATCCGGAAGAAAATAGCTGGTTACATATTTGCAGCATACGTGATGCATCCAACATAAACGGTGTTCGGTTATCCGGTTCCCTCGCCTATCCGGATATTTTGTGGAAAACAGATGTGTGCGGTTAACCGAGGTCCGACTGTAGTAGATAATGAATGATTGAGGTCAATTAATGATCTTGTAGTTAGGTCAAAACTGGCGCTATTGCGCACTTTCTACATAGCAGTATGTCATCCCCTGGGAAGCTGAGGTGCTAAAGGTGATAACAGTTCTAGCAGAGGTGACAATACCACCGCCCATTGCTAGGGCATGGCATGCAGTGCTCGAAATGGTGTGGAAACTAGTGGAAACACAATCAACAGACAGTGACCGTGAGAGGTACTAGCAACTCACAGTAAAACCTGTGGCTAACGACCACCCCTTCGGGCCAGAGAAAGCGGTCTTTAGTGGCAGGTGGTCCTTAGTTAGAGGTTTGCACCGCACAACCATAATTATATGAATGTGAGACCGCCCGTGCCTGGCGAAGTGGTCTGCAGTACCAGGCTGGTCACTAGTCACGGTGGTCTTTAGTTACACTGTACTTCGCAACACACATACACATGAAAAGGAATATACGGTGCTGCTCAACAAAACCCAGTCGCGTCACTCAAGCACGTGCTGGGCGTTGCGCAGCCCTTTAAGACCTGCGAACATTGGGCTGCGAAATGGTGCAAGGCACAAGCTCGACTCGCGTGACCAGATTTCATTGAGCAGCACTGTAGTTTTACTGTTCATATGTATGCGCCATTTTCGTCTGTTCGTATGTACGTGTGGCGAAGTAACTCACGCTTACTTGAGAACGGGTTTATTCACAACACCAATAGCGTGAAACCAAGAAGTAAGAAGCAAAGCAAAAAGACAACCCAAATTTGGAAATAAGTAGAAAACCCCAATTCGGGAATAAGGCCACACCAAGTTTTTTCATTGTTTCTCGTCACCGCGCGCGTACCTTTCTTGAGGATAGGACCAAAAAAAAAAATCTCGCGTCCCGGTAAACACGCATAAAAAGGCGTTGTAAAAGTACGCGCGGCGTCAAATCTGGAGTGCAGTGCTAGTGCACGAACCGAAGGACGACTTTTGCACCGTGTATGTACGCATACCGGTAGTTCAAGTACCACACCACCACACGACCTGGTCGTCTTCTTTGCTACACACAGTTCCGGTACAAGTCAAGACAGTGCATGACAGTGCACCGTTTTGGACTGACAGTGTTCCGGGCATCGGTAAACTTGCGGCATTGCGGACTACAAGCACTGTGAAGTTGCCGTGATTCCTTGAGTTCGATTTTAGGTCATAAATTGGGCCTTTGTAGTGTAAATAGCAGTTTTTGTTTTTCAAACCCTATTTTGTTTTTTTTCCGCCCGCCCGCGTTCCTTTTGAGATTTTCAGGTGACGAGAAACAATGAAATAACTTGGTGTGGCCTAAGTAGAAAACTCAATTGAAATGTAACTTACGTATTAAAGATTGAACACAAAAGCTTGACAAGAAATCATTACCTCACGCCTAATAGTAGTACCTCTCACAGTCTCTGTCTGTTGATTGCGTTTCCACACCATTTCCAGCACTGCATGCCATGCCCTAGCAATGCACGTTGGTTTTGTCACCTCTGCTAGAACTGTTATCAACTTTAGCACCTCAGCTTCCCAGGGGATGCCACACTTCTATGCAGAAAGTGCTCAATAGCGCCAGTTTTTGCCCAGTACAAGACACAGTCATTCACCTCAATAATTCATGATCTACTACTTCCGCTGATGAGCTCTGCTGGAATGAAACAGCCGTGTTGATGGTCTGACAATATCAAATCTCGGCGCAATGGTGGGGACGCGCAAGTGGAGTGCATTGGCCAAGAGGGGTGAGTCACTGATGTATTATGCAATTGCCATGTTTGTGGCTAATTTCTCTTAGATTAGTCCACTGATCTCTCCCTGTAATACCCGTCTGAAGACAACAGTGCCATTCGTGTATGTAATTATGGTAGCAGTCTCCTCCCCCCCCCCCCCCCCCCCCACACACACACACACAACCCCACTACAGACGCATGCATGCATGCATGCGCGTGTAGGCTCAACAAATGAGGACACGCTACGTGGTGTGAGTTTCAAAGCCCTACGTGCACATGTAATGCTTGTGATCATGAACGAGAGTACGAGTACTGCCTGGCGCCGAAGAACACAGTACAGGATAACGAACAGGCTAGAGTTCCGCCGAGCCTAGCATACCGATATATACGCGGTGAACCCACGGTGACCCCACTGCGCATAGCCAGTAGTACTGTAGTACGTGGAAATAAGAACAGCCCAGGCTACGAGGCTGACTCCCAGTTCTTTGGCACTCAACAGTACTGTACATCTACATGTTGCTTTTGCAGGTGACGCACAATACTCAATAGTAGTAGTCTTCGACATACATGTATCGCACAACTGACCCATATTTTCATTATTATTTGGGGCTGACTTCATTTCATTTCAGTTCATTTTGATTTGATTGACTTTCAAATCAACGTGCAGGTGCTACCTAGTTATGGGTCACTGTCACACATGTAGTAAAATGAAACAAGTAATTATCGGATTCATTGACAATACAAAATTTTAAAGAAATCACATCAAAGATGATTTACCAGCTTCTCGCAATATCGTGCTACATACGGCTGCAACGTAATTTTCTTTTCCCGGCCGGTTGACTCCTCGAACATCGAATCATCAAATTCCATGATTGAATGACTACAATGATTATGTAACTAACTGATTTGTACAAAACTACTTGACAAGAGCCTCTGAAACTGATGCATACAAAATCACTCCGGAACTAGTAACTGCATGCTTCGTCTCGATCGCGATTTTTGATCATGCATGTGCCTTTTCAGAAACACAAAATCGGCCAAGTGACGTCATCATACTACACCTGGTCACGTGCATGTAATGACAACGCTCGCTAGTAGTACCAGGGAGTCGTAAAATACGACTCCCTGGTAGTACTGTAAAAGCAGAAATTTTCGGTGGTGTTTTATTTTCGGTAACTTCGGTGCCGACAAGTTTTACCGAAAATAAAACGCACCGAAATTTTCGGTACAACCGATACTGTATACATGTAGTACTAGTACACTTACCTGGAGAACGGGTTTTACCGAAAATTTCCCTCTACCGAACCGCCGATTTTGGCGAATACCGAAAATATTACACAACCGAAAATTTCTGCTTTTACAGTACATGTATTTGGCCAAAAGACTGTAGCCAGTGTAGGCTGTGTAGCAGCCCGGATCATCCTCACAGCAGAGATCTCCTTCCTCTGACTCAGTCTGAGCTGATCCACATCTCGGAACTCGCCATGATTGAAGTCGAGTTCCTCATGATTCACGAAAGTTAGTATTAATAGTAAGAATGATGCCCAACAATACATAATACATCCCTTTGTGCAACTGCTACTGCTAGTGCAATGTGTTTTTCTTGTCGAAATCTTTCGAAATCTTTCTGTTTCAGTTTTATACTGATCTAATACGTAACGTCGTTGGGATCAGGTTACAAGTCAAGATAAGCACAGCTCGACATCCTGCTCCAAAGACCGGCCGGTCGGACTTGCAACTGCAAGAAGGTATCGGTGACATAATTATTAATTTTGTGTGTGTGTGTGTGTGTGTGTGTGTGTGTGCCCGTGTGCGTGCTCGTGTGTGTGCCCGTGCACGCGCGTGTGTGTTTGTGTGTGCGCGCACGCATGTGTGTTTGCGCACACATGCGTATGTTTCACTGGAATCTTGTTCACTACCGTATACCGCTGCTAAAAAAAAGGTTCAAGTAGAACTCTGATGCATCAAGGGTAGGGTACCCCGTAAGGAGACCATAGGTCTGTGGGGACTGCCCTAGAGAAATATGAATAAATACTATACTGTACTATTACTATTATGTAAGCGACCCTTAGCCCTTGGCGGATAATTCTCGAAAAGGTGGCAGATTCTGCTGGAAAAGCAGTGAAATTGGCAGAACCATACAAACCTTATGGCGGGCAATTCCTCGAATTCTGCTCCATTCAAAGTTCTTTATCCAAATACCAAATATGCATGAAACTTACCAGAAAAGTACCGAATTCTGCCAATTTTTCTGCCAGCATTATCCGCCAAGGCCTGATAAGCGTACCCACATTTTTTTTTTTTTTTTTTTTTTTTTTACTGAATACCACAGTACCATCAGATGCTGCACAGCGGGGGCGGTGGCATATTGGATGGAAGTGGGGGCGGGGCAAAAGTAACTCCTCCGACCAAAGGTCTCGGAATCATTGTTACTCCTGTGCGCCGATACATAGGAGAAAAGAAACATGTGCATCCAAGAGGGGAGCACTGGCTTTGCAAACGATAATGGGGAGAATTTGAGATTGGGATAGGACAAAACAATAGTAAAAGCAGTGCACCGTAGGAAGATGGAGTGAACTGATAATCGGGTTTTAAGGCTGAGCGAAGGGGATCAAAGAGGGGTAGAAGGGAGCTGGAGTGCGGTCAGTATAATTAGCAGTGGCGTAGCCAGGGGGGGTGCTTTGGGTGCCCAAGCACCCCCCTCAAAAATTTCAGGTACCATTTTCGTACTGCTGTGGATCTACGCCCGCCCGCGATCGAGGAGTACTCGACGTCGACAAGATCGACGCCACACGACGCTGCGCTGCACGACGGGGCCCGGCCAACTGTACTATTACCGTACTAGTAGCGCATGCAGGTTGCACTTGAGACTGCATGCATGCACTTGAGACTGCATGCATGGCTGCACAATGCACATGCAGTCATGTTCTCGCCGGTGACAGGCGCAGTACGAGTTCGTAGTGCTAAAATTATAATTTTTTAGTACAATGTAGTACTACCGGTACTGTAATTTGAACTAGTACTACCGTGGTAGTTGTGTGTAGATCTTTGCCTTTGAATGTGAGTTTGGTCGTTTTCGGATGCACTGCGCATTGTACAACTACCGGTATAGACTCGCACTTTGTGTAGCTAGACTTGGTAGAAGTGAAAGAGAAGTGTCAACGTCGTTTTGTGATCCGCAAGTCGAATGGATTCTTATGAAAATGTCGATCTTGAAGTATTTCAGTCGAGGGAAGTCGAAGAGACCAGATACCAGTAGCAGCAGTGCCAGTGCCATTTCCGAATCTGACGAATCTAATTGCGAAATTGTCGAAGTCGAAGACTCGGAAGAGCCGCAGTTGTCGCCCTTGGCTGTGCCAGTAGCAGTCGTCCGAAATGACATCGGTACCTTCATGGAGGACATTGCGAAGGGTGCACCGCTCGACGACGACGTGATGTTTGCCCTGCTAAAGGACCATGTCCAACCGGATAGTTCGTTTGTTTTCCCGAAGAATGGTGGCCGGTCTTTTCAGCCCCGCTGGCTCGATGTATACAAGCCATGGCTGGTGTTTAGCCCTTCGCTTTCCGGCGGAGTCTGCGTTCCATGCTGTCTATTTGCAAATGCATTCCGAGGATCGTCGCTCGGTGTTTTGGCAAGACGTCCCTTGACGAACTTTCGGAAAGCACTGGCGCTCCTGGATGAGCATATGGGGAAAGCCTACCACCAGGACGCTGTGGTAAGAGCTGACGGCTTCCTCAGTGTCATGGAGGGGAAAACGAAGGACATAGCACAGCTGACCAATGATGGACTCGCGGCTAGGGTAGCTGCGAATCGCGCCAAGTTGGAGGCGATAATCAAAATCCTGATCTTGTGCGGCAGACAAAATATTCCTCTGCGAGGTCACAGAGACGCCAGCACAAACAAGGAGGCCGCGGATTCCGCAAACTGTGGAAATTTCTGGGCTTTGATTGACTTCAGAGTGGAGGCTGGTGACAAGATCCTAGCTGGTCATATTGCTTCTGCCCCAGCCAATGCAACGTACACGTCAGGAGATATCCAGAACCAACTGATCGACATCATTGGTGACCAGATTGCCCAGAGGATTGTTGATCGGGTCAAGGATGCTGGATGGTTCACGGTCATCGCTGATGAGGTGACAGATGTGGCAAACAAGGAGCAACTCAGCTTGGTGTTACGGTACGTGGACCTATCGACAAAGGTGGTTCGAGAGGATTTTGTCGTGTTCGTTGAGTGTGCAGCAGGAGTTACCGGAGAGGCCCTCGCTAAGCTGATCACGGATACCATCACCAGTCTTGGCCTTGACCTTGGCAAGCTCCGTGGACAGAGCTATGACGGAGCAGGCAACATGGCAGGAGCCAGGAAAGGTGCCGCTGCCCGTATCACAGAGAAGTACCCCCGAGCTTTGTACCTGCACTGTGCCTCGCACTGCCTGAACTTGGTGGTCGTCTCGTCTCTGCAAGATCGTTTGGTGCAGAATATGATGGGCGTCGTCACCCGAGTAGCAGTTTTCTTCGACTCCCATCCGAAACGCCAGAAAGCGCTCGAGGCCGCTTTGAATGATGCAGACGAGGAACCTGATACATCCAAGGTAAAGGATCTCTGCAGGACACGGTGGGTGCAGCGACTTGATGCACTGGAATCCTTCCTGGCCCTTCACCCCATGCTTGTGGTCTGCTTCAATGCAATCCTGGATGAAGGTCCCCAGGCGTGGTCAAGAGATTCCATTACGGATGCGAATGGTTTGCTGACGGCTATCACCAACACCGACTTTATCGCAGCCTTAGTTATTGTCAACAAGTGCCTTCATTACGTGCGTGGCATCACCTCCAGTCTCCAAGCAGAAGCCAAGGACTTGATTGCAGCAATGCACGATGTGAGTTCCGTCACAGCCACACTGGCAGAAGTCCGAAGAAATGTGGACAAGTACCATGGTGAGTGGTTTGAAGTGGTGAAGTCCGTATGTGAGGCAGTGCACGTTACGCCATCACTTCCTAGGCTGTGTGGTCGCCAGACCCAACGGAACAACGTTCAGGCCGATACGCCCGTCCAGTACTACCGACGTGCCCTGACAGTGCCCATTCTGGACCACATGGTGTCGGAGATAGAGGCCAGGTTCACGCCGCACCACTCGACCGCACTCCAGGGCTTCTGTGCCATCCCAGCACTGCTGCTAAAGATGTCCATGGACGCTGCGAAGTCCCAAGTACAGGAGCTGGTGAAGCTGTATGACGACGACTTTGTGTCTGGCCGTAGTATGGAGGCTGAGCTCCACTGCTGGCGCGTGAAGTGGGTGAAGGCAAAGGCAGAGCACGGTGAAGCTAGCTTGCCGACCTCGGTATCAGCAGCGCTACCCCACGCTTCCCAGTTGTTTCCGAACATCCGCTGCCTTCTGCAACTTCTTGCAACCTTGCCAGTGACGTCTTGCTCGTCCGAACGGTCCTTCAGCGCCCTGAAACTGGTCAAGGACCGGCAGAGATCAGTGATGAAGAACTCCCGGCTGACTGGCCTCACCTTGCTGCAGGTTCATCATGACATTCCAGTTGACGTGGGTGCGGTCATCGATGAGTTTGCTCGCCGCCATCCACGACGAATGCAGCTGGTGAATGTATTGCACAGTGAATGATGCAGCGTACTGTGGTACATCTCACTCTGGCACATCTGGACTGTAAATACAAATCTCATGAGGCGGATTGAACATGAGCACTCGTCGGCAGACATACGTAACCTCTAATACCTGTATAATAAGATTTCCCCTGTATTATAAAATTTTCCTATCCTGGCTGGTATAATGTGCAGCAGTGTCCTGGTGATTACATGTATTCAATCGTGGATTGAACGAACTTCAACAATTGTCTGTATTATATTCTGGGTCTAACCACACCCTGTCAATCTCTTATCATCCAACTTCTGTAGCAAAGTACTGTGCGTTTCATACGATTATCTGACTTTTTATTGAATCATTGGTGGAATGGAAAATAATGAAATAGATGCAAAAATGAAGGATTTGGCAGTCAATATCGAAAAATTTTCCGGGGGAGGGCCCCCGGACCCCCCCCATTTTTCGCGCCCTTCGGGCGCTAGGCCCACACTTCCAGTGAGCACCCCCCTCAGCCACAATCCTGGCTACGCCCCTGATTAGGCTGGTGTGTTGGCAGAGATCATAGCCTGTCTGTGGCCCACTCCCACTTGCTGCGCCGCAAGTGGTCGTTGACGTTTTTCTTGAACGTGTGCATGCCTCTGCGAGAAGGGGGAGACTGCAGAAGGGTAGGTGGGAGCTGATTCCACGTTTCGATGAGGGAGTGGGGAAATGAGCGGAGCGTGTTGTTTCGTGCCTGAGGGGGAAGGATACTGGTGAGTTGCGATGGATGATGTGTTGCAGATCTGGTTGTCGCTCGAGTAGGCATGCGGTGTTGCGGTGCGGCTGCTGATGGTGGCAGAATGGCTTTCACCATTTCCGGACCCTCCACAAAGTGCAGCTTGTACAGAAAGCAGAGCCCTGCTACGGTACGGCGAATGTCGAGGCTCGGGAGGTATGCTCCATCTCCAATTATGTGCAGGGCACGGCGCTGGATGGCAGTGAGGCATAGCATGTGGCCAGGGCAGCAGGGAAAGAGTACTTCTCTCTCTATCTGCGGTAACCGATTATCCACTATAGTCTATAGTATACGGGGTTTCACCGTAACCGTGACACTGAGATCCTGTACGTACGGAGACATCAGTCACGTAAAATGCCGTGCAGTCGAGTGTCTTTCCAGCCCATGTGCTTTCTTGAGTTTCTTTTCTTGAAATAATATTAATTGCTCAGCGCCGGGCTCATGGCTGCAAACATTTGCTTACCGTGATGATTCGACCTGCATTATAGTGTATTGTGTTCTTCCAACACTACAGTCATGATGTGGACTTAGTTACCAGGTCACGCATGACTGTACACATACTAAAACATAGTAACATACACACACTCCCTGCACTGATCAGAGCCTGGGATCATTCACTCTGTCTCTGATTCAGTACAGTTGGAATCAGACGGCGATACGTCTCGTTTTCACATACATGTACATGTTGTATGATGTACATATTGTACATGTGTAGCGTTGGCACGCTAGTAACTCACACAGCTGCAGCGTGAATCACTTTCAATGTATTGGTCACGCGTGTTACACCGCACCCGTACCCCGCACTTGCAACTCTGTACCGTGCTTGCAGATCCATGACATGCATAGTAACTAGTCTCACTGCGTTCAATGTTTCATATTGACCTTAGAAATACTGCTGCACTTTCAACCGCCTCTTTTACGCCCATTGCCCACACTGTTATTCAGCTCCTTCTTCTGCATAGAATCAAATGGCATTCCTTGTGCAATGACTGTAGCCCACACAACATACTTTGACCTTTCTTCTTCTCTCTGCTGAGCCTTTGCCGTGACCATTGCTATTGCAGCACGTATGCTGTCTGCCTATAAAAGCTGCTGTTCACAATTCTCTATACGCCAGTTAGAAACTACAGTTAGAAAGGCCAGTTAGAGATACCAGTTAGAACCTTCAATAATGTCAGTTTAGAGTTAGAGTCAGAGTTAACGTTTACAATGTAGTCTTCCGTTTAGTTCAGTAATAATTTTAAAGCAGTGTGTTCACTGAGACCCGTCTGCATTTGCCTCAGAGAGAGACTGCGGCCCGTTACAGAATTGGTGCCAGCGGTGGGATTCGTTACAGAAATGGTGGCAGCGGTGGGATTCGTTACAGAAATGGTGGCAGCGGTGGTTCGATTTTATAATTGCTAGATTCGAACCCACCTAGTATCTGTATTGCATTGATGGCAGCGGCGCTACAGAATTGATGGCAGTGGTAAATTGTTTTATTGGTGTAACCGGTACCAGCATGGCCCAACCTGATGCGCCGGTCGCCGCTACTCCTTCGCCCGCCACGTCTCCCCCAAGCCCGAAATGATGACGGACAGCGTCTCTACCGATCAAGCTCCATGTCCAATGTAAGCTAATTCCCGATATGGCATTTTCTTTCCTGTCTTCCTTCAGTCTTCCTGTTCTCTTCAGTCTTCCTTTATGCGAGTGCGTGAATCCAGTTTAGTTAGGTAGGCGTCCGATCATGGTGAGCCACGGTCTATCTAGCTAACCCGGGACGATGTGTGTGACAATGCCCCTTATAATGCATTCAGTTCGGTTTTTGAACTGCGATTGTGCTGGCAGGTTGTGCCAGGGTTGGGCAGCAAGAGTGCTGTGGTTTTCAAGTCCCATTTGGAGGACGGTTCTTTCCCCTTTTTACCCCGTGAGATCGTGTAAACCTGGTGTGCTGCTACTTTATGATTTTATCAGTTCATTTCTTCTGTCTACTCCAAACGTTATCATTTCCGATATTATTTTGCCATATTCCGGTTGACGCTGTACCAGTATGATGCGCTATCTCCTATAATGTTCAATGATTATGTTCGCACCACCTCTTAGTCCTATGATCTGCGGCTGCGCTCCAGCGAGTACTTCAATGTCAGTTGTCCTCATTGCGTCTGGATATCAACCGAGGCTGTTCACAAATACATACCTGTATATGCAAGTAATCCATTCTGCCTATCTTCTTCCGTCGAGGTTATTCCGACGCGACCATGCATGCCGCCAGTGTCTTCTAATCTCAGTCGATTGTCGGAGTCTGGCTATCAACTAATGTTACTCGCCCAGTCTAGTCTGCGCATCTTCATGATCTTCTATCAGTGTTCGTCACTTCGTGTTCTGCTACTCGGACTCTAATCACGAGGACGTGATTCTGTTTAAAGAAGGAAGGTGTAGCGTTGGCACGCTAGTAACTCACACAGCTGCAGCGTGAATCACTTTCAATGTATTGGTCACGCGTGTTACACCGCACCCGTACCCCGCACTTGCAACTCTGTACCGTGCTTGCAGATCCATGACATGCATAGTAACTAGTCTCACTGCGTTCAATGTTTCATATTGACCTTAGAAATACTGCTGCACTTTCAACCGCCTCTTTTACGCCCATTGCCCACACTGTTATTCAGCTCCTTCTTCTGCATAGAATCAAATGGCATTCCTTGTGCAATGACTGTAGCCCACACAACATACTTTGACCTTTCTTCTTCTCTCTGCTGAGCCTTTGCCGTGACCATTGCTATTGCAGCACGTATGCTGTCTGCCTATAAAAGCTGCTGTTCACAATTCTCTATACGCCAGTTAGAAACTACAGTTAGAAAGGCCAGTTAGAGATACCAGTTAGAACCTTCAATAATGTCAGTTTAGAGTTAGAGTCAGAGTTAACGTTTACAATGTAGTCTTCCGTTTAGTTCAGTAATAATTTTAAAGCAGTGTGTTCACTGAGACCCGTCTGCATTTGCCTCAGAGAGAGACTGCGGCCCGTTACAGAATTGGTGCCAGCGGTGGGATTCGTTACACATGTACCTGTACATGTACAGAGTACATATTGCATATTGGTGTGCCCAACTCACCATAACATAAATCTCGCACGTGCCGCAAAAAATGACCAGGGAAAGCCGAAAACCATTTTCTTTCTCTGCTGTGGATTGTGCTGAAAGCTCTGAAAGTCCATCAAAATAACTGTTATGTACATGTACATGTATGACATAGTATGTATTGTTAGTGGCTGGCTGTCATTGTTGTAGCACAACTGATTCGTAGCATGATCTGTGCTGGTGAGGTTTACAAGTAACAGTTACTGATGACGGAGCCCCTCTCAAATACTCTACATAATAATTCCATTCCTGGCACATGCCTGTAGCTGTACATATTGTACAATCCTGCTCAATGAAATCCAGTCGCCTGCCTCAAGTAGATCTACACGCCGGGCGTTGCGCAGCCCTAGACCTTTGAACACTGGGCTGCGAAATGGTGCAAGGTTCAAACTTGAGTGACGCGACTGGATTTCATTGCCGGGCAGCACTGTACATGTTCAACTGTACATGTAGCTGCATGTCTGCAACCACTGAACCAGGGAGTAGTGCACGGGGCCTAGGGAGTAGTACAAGTCACATGATCGTACTACTCCCTGTCTGCAACAGTACATGGTATAACAGCAACAGACACTATTTTCAAAAACTCTCCCCAGTGCCCATGTTTGGTAAGGTTTCAATTGGCAACTGCTCTCACCGTCCTGTCATATATTAATGACATAACGTCAACTGGTCCAGCCCATGGCATGTGACAGTCTACCTGGTCTCTACATGTACAATGATGTACAATCATGTACTTTCTGTGCCAGTTACCACCACTCATCATCACTGCTCTAGACTATAGTATAGAGTGTGCTGACAGTATGTACTGTTCGGTAAAGCATGAATTTTAGGTGCATCAAAATTTCGGTGCCATGGACCTGCCAGGTTTCAGGTCGCGGCAATGTAGAATTAGGTGACAGGCTTTCCCTTCACATACAGTCAGTGCATACTCTAGTGCCTTTTAATAAGTGTACATGTACATGTAGGTGTAATTTAAATTTAGGTTCCTGTCGTCTCTACTGGAACTTCTCTACCGGAATCACCGAAATAATTAAAAAGTTACACCGAAAATAACATGTTTTACGGTATGTCCCAGACTGGCTTGCTCCTTCATGCAGTACGAGTACAGGAGTGGAGTAGACCTACTGCCTACTGGCTATTGTAGGTACTGGCACTGCCTAGCTGCCTGCCCCAGTTGATGATGTTGGTGATGATGGGCATGGTTGCACTGCATCGAACACTGCCGCTGCCGGATCATGGTTGTAGTGTACGGAGGTGAACGTATACCAAGATGAGTGTGTTCAGTGTACATGGTGTATGTCCAGTACTGTGTTAGTGAGTATCGATAACTGTACTGTATATAGCGGCATGCATCAATGCATCACGTGCGGGGTATCACGTGTGACAGCTGACATGTCGGACTCGAAGTAGCCCGTACTGCACAGTAGGCGCTATTTTCAAGGCGTTGCTTTGCATCCGAGATCTCGATTGGAGATATTGTAGCCTTGTAAGTTAGTTTAGGCTGAGCAGATTTGAAAACTGTGACCTGTCGATACGGCTACTCCATCCACTGATCCAGTCCACAGATTTTACCTGTTGTTTGTGCACTGCACCAGCATAGCACTCGTACTCGCGTGCAGACTTTTAAGCACCGCCGCTTCACGTTCACCATGCATGTTCGACTGTCTTACACTAGTCTTTACTACAATTTTACTACGTCTTTACAGTGTCATCTGGTCATGTCAGTGCAAAACTCAAGGTAGCATGCAGTGGCCTTGACTAGATCAGTAGACTCTACTACACGACATGTCGACAGGTTCATGCACGTATCAACAGACAGACAGTGCATGCTTCGTAGACTGCAGGTGCGGCTAGATCTACGAGAACGGGCATCTCGATCGGTCAAGAGCTCAAGCCCGAGTCAAGGCCAGCGAAGGGTAGGTGCGGCTCAACACAACAGGTAAGGACAACGACGAGTTTATGCACAAGTGCACCGCATCTACAACGCCAGTGTACCAGGTGTACACTACTACGCTACTCCACTGGCACTACTACAGTCAGTACAAGTTCGCTGTCGCTGATTGAGCTTGCTTCACTTGCCCGTTTTGCTCGTAATAGTAGTTTGCTTGTTGGCCATCTCTCGCCATCGTGCTTTGTAGACTTTAGTAGTTTAGTGCTTGCTCCACACCACACCGACACTATGCCGAATGTCGACAATGAGGCTCTGTCCGCAGCCTACCAAGCCGTTCGTGACGATTCTAACGACACCACCTGGTACGTGCGTTGCGATAGCCAACTAAATTATGTAGCTGGCTAACGGTGATTTCGTGTCTGGCTTTTGCCATATCAGGATTTATGGAATTCCTCTGTTTTGTTGTGTTGTTGCGCCGGTGAGATGGCAATGTGTAATTTCGGGGTTACTAGCATACCTGTTCCGAGTCTTTTCTGTGATTTCTATAATTGCTTGGGTTGCAATGGCAGCACTCCGCGTGCAGCTGGGCACAATTGTGTCGACGAGCGATAAAGGATTGCAGAGTACCACAGCGCTCCTGTTTATCGTTCAGTTTTTTGTTGTTGCTGGACCTTCAGTGAACGACCCTGTGATAGTCGGATCATAGGCCCAGCACGCACATAGATCTACTGACGATAAGCAACCAGTAATAATAATATAACTGTTTACCTGTGGCTGTTCCCCAGCTTTCCCGTCTACATGCATGGGTGTGAACAAACTCGGAATAATCTGAGTGATGACGATGTGCGAACGAAAGGTGCGAGCAGAGTGATTGGCTTCACCACTGCAGTGTGGACTATACTAGTCGATTGTTGAGGGAATGCTCCGATGCTTCACAAGGTCGTTTTACTCAATCTCCGTGCGCGTGTGTGCTTTTTGTTGCCTCTGCTAAACTGCAGGGCTGCGTTCGGTTACGAAGGACCTGACATCGTTCAGCTGGCGACAGGACCGGACTACGAAGACTTTCTGAGTCTTTGTGCAGGTAGGGAATCAGTGCCTGCTGATAATGCATGCAGCGCACGAAGAATGTTTTTCTTGCTTGCACGTGGTGTTCGTTCAGGCTTCGGCGGTGTGAAGCAAGAATTTACAGCCGCTGAGCACTATTTCGGTATTTGCGGAAATCCAGAGAGGAAACTGGTGAGGTGCGGTGTTTGACATGCGCCAGTGCTGCACAGCTCCAGACATAATGCCTGGGATCGAATTAGGTGCAACGCCGCGCTGTTTCAGTGTTTGTCAGCTGCGCTTGCCGTCGGAAACTTCAAAGATATGTGCGCCGCGTGCAGCCTTTGGAGGGCGCTCTCCGAGGGCGCGCTGTTAGCTTGCAGGGGGCATGAGTCGTGCTAGTGTAGCGTTAGTCGTTAGTGTGGTCCACACGACAGTTCTGAGACTTCTGACTGATCTATCTGTTGCCTAGCTCAGCTCAGCTCAGACTTTTCTCCACCTCCCTGAAATGTTCATGCTTTCCGGGAGTAGGCTGCATGACCAGAATTCAAGACATGTGCAATGTGCTTGGTAGACTAGATATCCTCCTGTCCAGTGTCCACTACTCATGCATGTGGACTGTCTGTGGAGTGAGAGCTCAACGAAGACGGCACTGTTCTTAGAGAGCAGGTGGATGCGTATGTCCACTTTTCGGGTGAGGAAACCACGATCTGTTGAAACAACGCCCACAGACCAAGAGGGGTGCTCTTGATGTGAGGTGATTTCCTTCCGGCGTAATTAGTTGTAAATGTTTGCAATCGTTTTGGGCCTATGCTCGGCGGGCACAAGGGTGTGTCCCGAATGCGAGATTTGCGGTGGACGGTTTATAGGGTTGGGAATGCAGGCTGTGCGCGCTTGACTGTGTGTGGATCAGTCCTGAAGCTGCTGCGGCACATACTGGAACGCCTGCTGCACGTGTGTTGCTGTGACAGCTGCTTCACTATGCAAAGCCACCAGGAAATGTGCTTTGGAGGCAAGTGGTAACTCCGAACACAGTTGCGGCATCCCAGTCCCTGCTAGTGTTGTGCACGAGTGCTGTATTGTGCTAGGCGCTGCGGGCTGGCGAAAAAGCAGACAAATTGAGGAACAATGCAATGCTACAGTTGCCTTGTCCAACGGGCGATTTGTGTGGTCGATTCATCCCGGTGCCCTGGAAGAAGATAATTTTTTTAATGATGCGATAGAAATGTCTGGCAAAGTGGCATGGGTTGTTTTCAAGTGACATTTGGGTCTGCCGCCATAGGGGTAATAAGGACTGCACATCATCTACGCGTGGGAGTGCTAGTGCTGTGCATATGTACAGTGATTACACGTGAATCATGGGCCAATCAGTGATGACGTGTGCCACAACTTGGCACAAGTGTATGTGTGTTATGTGGGGGGTGTATCCTCCTGTCCTGCTGTGTTCTGTTATGGGCCTAACACTACAGTTAGCAACACTGGCATGCCAAAGCCAACAAAGGCAAAGGGAAAGGCCAGTGGCAGTGGTTGCATATCTGGCAAGGTGACGAGGCTGACCATGCCTTGGGCTAGAGTGTCCCTGAACAGGACTGGCTGTTTTAGCCGGAAGTAACAGTGATATGGAATGTGTTCTCAGTAAAAACCCTCCAACCTAGATAATATGATCTGCTCATCAACACACCATGCAACTCATAGCAGCCTCATGCTTTGCAGTAAACAGCTTCACACCAGCGGTTTGTTTCTGCTGACGGTGTGTCCGGCTATTTTGCATGATGCTTTTCTGCCAGTTCTGGTAGCCCTGCGCATAACATAACACCAGTGAGCACAAAATCATTGAGTACTACCTGAGCATACAGAGTCTTACAAGTAAGTAGTAATGGTCAGTACAGCATAACGTTACAGAGTACTGAACAACAATCATGCAGAGTAATACCAGCTACACTTACTGTAGACACAGTCCAGCTGATGACTTCCCTGGATTACCCAGTGCCAGAGGCGGAGGATGCATTCCTTCTGGCTAGACAAGGGCACAGGCATCGACAAACGGCATCACACATGTCAAAGCCTGTGTGACAGCTCCTGATGAACACGATATTTTTAGTAGGGCCACTTATAGTAGGGCCACTTATCCACCGTTACACCAGCTGTTTGTAGAGGGAGCATTCAGTCGTTGCTGCCTTTCTTCATGTATGGATACTGCAGGGGACTATTGGCTTTCAACGGTCACGTTTAGACCTAGACTAGAGCATTGGCAGATGCTACCCCTACTGCCCATCCATCATTAATAATAATAATATGAACAGGTCGCATATTGCCCGCATAAACAAATCATACGGGGTCATGCATCTGTCAATGATCGTTAACCAAGTAAGTAAAATGAGTTGCTTGTTGGTGGCACATTCAGAGCCGGGCTCCATCAGTATTATGATAGTGATCCTTGCAACACTGATTACTGTAGACAGTTGTGCGGTTTGGACATTCAGCTCATCCCGTCCTTTATCCTGAGGAATAGTTATGTGCCTGTTGCTGGGTTTAGCACATGACTATTGTAGTGTCCCTGGTGAAAGTGTGTATGGGGGGGGGGGGGGGTGTCATCCAACTCAAGTAAACTGACAGTGAGTTTTGTTGGACTGGCGGCTGTGCTCAACGTGTTTCATGAAAAAGTTAGTTGTCATTATCATGGGTACGCAGTGCACTACGCGTACTGGTATACTGGTGGTAGTGATATTGGTATTGTATTTTTATTATTTTACTTGGGTATTCCAAACAGACCCTCTAACAAAGTCTTCTTACAGGGTGCCCAAGTCAAGATGAATGAATGTGTTAAGTTCCTGACGAAATGAATTGGGGATATGATTAGTGCGAAGGGGTTCAATGGGGGGAAGCCCATTATGCATTAAAGCGGTCAGCACCAAGGAATGAAATAGATTTGTATCCAGCTTGAGATTGGTGTGCCGAATGTGACCTGTTCTTAGTGCAATTGAATTGGAATTGTGCCCACTTGGGAGGTTAAAGTGGATGTGTCGTCCGGGTAATCACACATGACCATTTCATTGTCAATGATGACTGTTTCTGTTGTCATAGCTGCACTTGATCCTGCATTGGAAAACAACTGTGCCAGTGGTGTCTTTCCACAACTGGCATTGGATGATCATTTTCATTCCATCAAGTAAACCCGTACTTCACTAGTCTGTGAAGTATTAAGTGTAGCAGCAGCTGGTACAGGAACTACTTTCCAGTCAACTAACCTTGAGAAGAGAGAGAGAGAGAGAGAGAGAGAGAGAGAGAGAGAGAGAGAGAGAGAGAGAGAGAGAGAGAGAGAGAGGGGGGGGGGAGAGGGGGAGAGGGAGAGAGGGGGTGGGGGGAGGGGGAGGGAGGGAGATAGCCAGAGAGACAGAGAGAACATGTATTTTAATTTGCTGAATGTGCTCGTTTACCGTAGCAATCTCTGCCTGGGATCCAACAATTAACAATTGTACGGGCGGCTGGTGTTGTTGTGTGTTCCCGCGTTGGTTGCAGATAGCGAGCGTGTATATGGATATATTCGCATCACCACCGGTGACGAGATGTCCAAGCGCTCCAAGTTTGTATTTATCACGTGGATAGGAGACTCCGTTTCGCCACTGAAGAAGGCCAGAGTGAGCACTGACAAGGCGTTCGTCAAACAAATCATTACAGTAAGTAGAGGTTAGACGCGGGTGGAGAGCCAAAGATTAATTTGCTTCAGAAGAAATGAGTACCAGGGAACTACAAGTTACGCTATAATGTCCACTAGCACCACCATTTACTTTACAGTCGGCTCGTGCGATGACATTGCACAACACTGACAACTGTACGGACGTTCTACACCTACAAGCTGGCAATCAGTGACATCTTGGATACGCACTCCAACAGCCTTCCAGCTTGGAAGGTTCTAAGTTAGAAATAGCACAGGAGGGGAAGGTGAGCGCAACCCAGACAAGCACGAGCTGAAAGTCTCAGCTGTGAAGGACGTTGGCGGATTTACATGTACATGTATGTACGTGTTCGCTTAGCTTCCCCTCCAATTAATCGGCTTCGAATCATGGTTTTAGACCCACGCAAGTTGTGTAGTATGTTGCTATGTGTCCTTGGATTGTGGTTTGACCGTTTGTCTGATGGCCTTTTGCCAGTATCGTCTTCAACATACTTGTACATCCGCAAAGGGCAGACTTCAACGCTTCTACGAATAAAGAAACTGAAGGCTTTGATCATCAATGCCCGGGACCTCCAAAAGTGCTATCACAAGACAAGTATGCATGAAATCGGGTCTAAAGAATACACTCCATACACGTATATCCTGATGGCTACATGGGCTGATTAATTATTTGGTTCACCGGGTTTTTTTACTCGTGTCTCTTTTTCCAGAACTTTGCAAAGGAGGTGCTGGCATCGTCGCATGCAGAAATCACCATCGCTGAGCTCGAGGAAGTAGTGCGTAAGGCCGGCGGCGCCAATTACGGAACAGGAAGATAGGCGCGCAAATCGCTGACGGCGCGGCGTTTTAGCCCGGGGTCAAGGTATTATTTTATGCCGGGCATGAGCGGGCCCTGTGTAAAGACCCAAGGTCATATAATATTATTATTCTTGTATGTTTTTTTTCGTTTTTCTCCTCCGTTTCATCTACCCTTGATATATGGTTCCTTGCAACGGGATCCTTCCGGTCCTTTCCGGCAGTAGAACGTGGCTACGGAATGCGGTGTGCCTAGCTTTTAAAACCTAATATTGCAGCAGATTGCTGTTGCTATGGCTACGGTTGCCTTGGTGAACATTGCGCCGTAGCCATTCTAGCCTATTTATAGGTTTCCTTTATCTCGTCTAGCTCTTGGTTTTGTTCTCCATCCCGTGTAGCCGACTGCATGTGATCATGCAGGAGCTAGAGTACTCCCGTGTACGCGCATGGAGCACTGAGCTCGGGCTGCAGTGTGTAGTGATCAGCAGACCTGTTTGTGCTCCATAGCATCTTTTCTACTTGCACGGCAGCCTGGTCAGCAGCATACCTCGTGGCACGCACACAGTGCCGGCACGTCCGCTTGTGTGTGTGTTTTCCTGTTCACTATCGTTCTGCTAGTCATCACATTATGTGTATTTATTTTTTCTCCTTCGCCGAAAGGCCTATTTATCTCCAGCCGACCGCTGAAGACCCTAAGAAAAAAAAGCGAATGCGTTTGACATATGTGGAGATTATGCATGGAGGACTGGCAGGGTGCACAGGCTGTGCATGCGGGGAGTGACTGCGGTGGATGTAGAGGTGCAGAAACTGCAGGTAACACCTTTGAGTTGCGTTGAGTTGCGTTTTGAGATTGGCCATCACGGCAGCACTACTGAGTCTGTCTGTGTGTTTGGTCATGGTGCATCAGCAGCGGTGCTGAGAAGGGTTACAAAGTGCGCTGCGCCATCATCTTCATCATTGCACGCACGCACACACTCTCTCCCTATACACAGCACGAGGTACGGGTGGACACACAGGAGGTTGCATGACAGGTTGTTCCACACTGCTATAATTAGGTATTGTTCTACATTTAAAAAATTTGTACATGTCGAACAGTGAGGATAATTTTATTCCTAGCCCAAAGGGGTCTTTACTCTTTATGTAATTGAAAGAAATCACTAAAAAATACGCTACAGATATGGCCACGGCCGGGATAGTAAAGAATGTGAAAAGCAAGTAAGTCTTAGTGACCGGTTGCAAGGGAAAATAAAAGCAGCACTCAGCACCCCAGCAAAATAGAAGAGTGCATACATTTTGTTTTGGAGCTGTGAGATAACAATCATAGGAGTATTCAGCAAGATAGAAGTGAGGCCCAATGGTGTGTTCAGGAGTGACGCAGCAATATAGAACGATGGATGGATAAATAAATAGAGAGCGGGAGGAGACAGAGAGAGAGACAGAGAGAGAATGACTAGCAGATGGGTAGACACACAGAGGATGGCAAGTTAACATAGTAAAGTCAGCAGATGATTGTTATCTTCATTGGATGTGGGAAAAAGGGGATCAGAGAATCTCATGCAGACATACATGATCATACAAACTCTTCGAAACCCTGCATCTTGGATACACATTATGTTGAGCATCTGTGTCCAACCCAGTGAACAGCGTTGAGGAGGCCAGTCGGAAACTAACTGTGCTTACACACTAGCACGGCAGTGCCAGTGGTAGCTAAGCAGTGCTGGCCACAGCGCTAGCAGGATGAGAACATAGTTACCACCGTCGATAATATTTATTAGCACATGAGATTACTAAATCCGATTCAAGAGAAATATTGGCACAGACCGCGACAGATGCAATCACCTCACTAGAATGGACTTTCCAGCAGGCGTCCAAAGCCTCTCCCGGCGGTAGCCATATCGCTAAGTTCCACTACTGGAGAGTCCGACGAACCCGTGCCCGTTGCAGCGAGATTGTTTGGCGTTCCGCCGGCAAACGGCGAGGCGGTGGTCAGGGAGGTGAGGGACTCACATGACGCACTGCGCTGTATGCGACCACCGCCTAGCTTGCTCTGGCGAGTCACCGAGTAGCACTGTATGTACAGGTGGATAACATGGAGAATACAACACACATCATGCACACACACACATCATGCACACACACACATCATGCACACACACAGCATGCACACACACACACACACACACACACAGCACAGCACACATACACACAGCACACACACACACAGCGCGGTTATGGAAAATCACTGGCAGGCGGTGATATTTCCAAGCGCACCAGGTCACAAAACCCCGCAGCCATGTTCATGTATGATTATTGATTATGTAAGTACTACCATAGTAAGGCACATCCACTGAACTGTTATACATGCATGGTATACCAGACTGTCCAACCGTCCTGCATTGGACCAAAACATGTGTACTGTATACGTTTACATGGGACACAATTGCCTTTGTGTACAATATACTGCGGGTGTCCTGCTTTGGAATGGTGGCAAGGTTGGACAGACTGGTATAGTGCAATTTGTACACACAAAAAGCAAAGCCTGCATCATCACACAATGGACTGTTGAGGCATGGTATTATATCAACACAAGCAACTGTAACATTGTTACATCATAATCACGTCCTACCTGTGTGTGTCTGAGAGACGCTGGCGTGTTGAATGCTCGGAACGCATGGTATTCCTCGGCATGGACAGATCTGGATTGCCCGGACACACACCCAGAACACCAGACACACATACACACGCGGAGATATAAACATGATTGCATTATTGTTCGTGCATTCCCGGCTAAGTACGTTACTGGGCAATGCCGTGGTTACGGGCGCCCCTTGAACTACTTACTTGTACAAGTAAAGGTTGGGGAAACTACAAACACTATTGCGTGCAGTTTGGAAGAATGGGCAAGGATAGTTGGCAGGTGATTCAATTCACAGTGAACTGCTCTAGATGATGAACTTACGAGACAAGTTGACGTGCAGATGGCGTGTTGAATACCTGTACAATGCACCAGATACACAACAGAGAGAAGAGAAAGACACTAAATGAGACGCTGTATTCATCGACTGTTTATACCAATTGCATTGCAGATACATACCCCCCCCCTCTCTCTCTCTCTCTCTCTTTGAGCTTCAAAGCTGCAGAACACAGGCAGATTTGCTTCTCCTCTCTGTCTGTCTCCCAATCTCTCTGTCTGTCTCCCAATCTCTCTGTCTGTCTCCCAATCTCTCTTCTCTCTCTCTCTCTCTCTCTCTCTCTCTCTCTCTCTCTCTCTCTCTCTCTCTCTCTCTCTCTCTCTCTCTCTCTCTCTCTCTCTCTCTCTCTCTCACGCACACACACACACACACACACACACACACACACTAGTACACTGCCACAAGCGCATTCCTGGGCAGTCAACTTCGCATAGTCAAATGAATTCTCGTCACAATGCTTACACTTTTCTTGTGCATGGAGAACTGTGCCGTTGGGACGGCGTCACGATTCGTGTTGTGTATACGCAGCGGAGTACGAGGGTAGGGCGACCGCGTTCTGGATGACGCATCCGTGCAGGCGACGGCGGTCATCGCCACCGCTGCTGGTGCTGCACCGCCGTTAGCGAACACTGGGCTAGCGGTGCGTGATTGCGGCGTGCGTGTGGGCGATGGCGAATGCGATGGTGCGCGTGTCGATCGGCGTAGGCGACGCTGTTGCTGTGGAGTGACTGTGACAGGAAAGAAAAGTTAAAAGTAAAGAACAGTTCTAAGGACCCGCTAGAGTGTAAGCCAATCTGCTCAGGGAGAAGTACATGCCCAGTAGTACATGCGCAGTAGTGCATGCCCAGTAGTAGTACATGCACAGTAGAGGTGTAGTACTGCATACCACCAAGAGTGAAAGTCACCAGGTCGGCACCTATGACATCAGGGGATGGCCCACGCCTGGTAAAAAACATGCACAGTAGTACTGTGCATGCACAGTAGTACATGCACAGTAGGACATGCACAGTAGGACATGCACAGTAGGACATGCACAGTAGGACATGCACAGTAGGACATGCACAGTAGGACATGCACAGTAGTACAATCATGCACAGTAGTACATGCGCAGTAGTAGGACATGCATAGTAGTGCGAAGTTCGGAGTGTGGAGTGACTGCAACAACAGTTCCAAGGAAAGAAAAAACTAAGACGTTGCGCCATCGGGCGGGAATCAGTGAAGAAAGCGTCTGCTCCAAACGTCGGAGCTCGCGGTGCTCTAGACGCAATCGTGAGTCAATCAAGTGTCAAGTCAGTCGGCAGGAAGCGCGAGCGCCGACGTTTGGAGCAGACACTTTCTTCACTAGGGACAGAAACACAAGCCAGCCTGCTCAGTGCAAATTACATGAACAGTAGTGTTAAGTCCAAGTTGCCTTGGATTTGGACCAAGAGTTCTGGAAACACCGTACACCGTACAGAATAAGGAACAAAATATTTTAGCAATCCAGAAATGATCCCCGAAAAGTACAGTATTATTATGCATGCACATACACGTAATGTGTCTCACCTCGTGTTCCGCGCGACAGCCTTGTTTTCTGGCGTGTGCTCTTGCACGGCGGCAGGTTTTCATCCTCCGCCACCGCCGTCGCCGCCTGTCCAGTACCACTTGGACTGCCGTAGTGTGCATCAGTACAGAACGAAATCGAGGTGCCTCGGCCGCTGGTGTTCACTGATGCTGGCACGGCAGCAGATCGCTGACCGCCACTAGCGACACCATCAACACAATCATCGCCATTGTCGTTGTCCTCGTCTTCGTCGTCGGAGAGCTCTGTGCGACGTCGCTTGCCCGTGCACGGGCTCTGTACGGGCTGCTGTGACGATGGGTACGTGCAGTTTGCGGCGTCCGTACTGAACACGTCACCAAGCGAATCCACAGACTGCATGTTCTGCATGCTTTTGATGCCGATGGCAGCGCCGTGCGATGGGTACCTGCCGTGCGGGGATGCCGCTGCACTGCCATCGTACACCAACGGAGAGAGTGGCGCATGCTGAGACTTGGAGCGGAGAGCACTCCTCTGCAGGGAGTGGTCGTTGGTGGCAAGCCGCGACGCTAAGCGCGGCGATCGGCGTTTGTCCAGTGCCAGCGGGGATGCCGGCCGCAGCTCTGCACACATTCCAACGCCGGACGCGGTGCTAGCCGAGAGCGTAGGCGATGCGTGCGACGGACTACCGACGCTGCAGATAGGCTGCAGTGGTGGCATTGCCGGTGCAGTGCGGCGTTGTGCCAGCGTGCTGCTACGCTCGGGCTTCGGTGGCCCCTGGCGACCAGATTGGCGCGTCGATTTGGTTTTCGCCGGCTCTTGAGCCTCCTCCTGATCCGCTTCTTCGGACTCCGGAGATCCGCTGTCGTGGTCGTCTGCGGCAAAGTTCTGGAATGACATTCGACACCCCGACGCCTGAGGACCTGCACCGGCGTAGGCTTGACGGCGAATGGACGGCGATCGGATGTCATCTCCATCACCACAGTTACCACGTGACACACGCACGTTGGGAGACTTGAGTGCAGCGTTCGGCACCGATCTAGACTGGAGTAGGGGTGACATGTTGATATCGGCAGCTTCTAAGATTGGGGAGCAGACCATGTCACCCGGTGATACCATTAGTGGATGGGCTTGCACAGCCTGGACAAACAAGATAGATAGGCCGTGCGAAAAACAAGGTTCAAGGTGCTTTGACAACACACAGCCCCGGGAACAGAGTAAACACTACTGAACAGAGGACAAGTTTTGGCCATTTGCATTCAATCTACTAAAGCACATACAGTACATGAGGTGCAGTCTCAACTAACTACTTCAGTGCACGCACCCAGATGGATACGAGTTCTGAAATTCTCATTCGCTGGTTGTGGGTGGTATGCTGCATTTGGACACGGATCTTTGGAACACGTTGATGTGTGTGCGTGTGTGTGTGTGTGTGTGTGTGTGTGTGTGTGTGTGTTTGTGTTAGGGCATGTGTGTGTGTGTGTATGTATGTGTGTGTGTGTACGTGTGCATGCATGTGTGTGCACGTGCATAAAAATCATCAGCAACACACGGGTCTGGTCTACGACTACAGTTCCACTGCATCATTAGCTGCGGGGCCCCGGATCAGCTGAGTATAAAGACTCAGCAGTGCTACTGTGCCAGGCAGCGTACCCGTAGCATATCCGGGGTCATGGTGGTCGCCTCAAACGGCTCGTCGTCGGTACCGGCCGGGCAGAAGCTGAGCTGCGGGTTGGTGGTGGTGGAGTTGGGTCGTCGCCAGCGTATGCTGCCCACTTGCTGCGCGGCCTTGGTGGCCGAGAACGGGGCAGAGAGCACGCCGACAATCTTGTGCAGCAAGCCAGTGCCAGTGCCGCTGCTGTTGCTACTCTGCGTGGAGCTGGCCAATGTTAAAGGTGTGTGACCTGCCGTCGTACGACCTAGGAGATTAGAAACGAAAGAAAAACATTTGCACTGTAAACCTCCACTTGGTCACGAGGGAAGTTATCTAAGCAACATTCAGTATTGTTGGGAATCGTAGAACGAACAGGCAAGGATTTCACCCAGCACAGACTACGTGCATTGTAACAGTATGCACGCGGTGACACAACTCAACATAGACACGAGGTACATGAGCAATAAGAACGGCCGAGGCTACGGCGCTGAAACCACGTTCTTCGGGACCAGACAGAACTGCACTAGTAGCAGCTTGTCAGGGACATCCCTCAGTTTGCACTACAGCTGGCTTCCCTACACTATGCAGTGCAAGAATAGTTTACTACAAAAGATGTTCACTATAGACTATAGTCTTTACTGTCAATAGAGGTTTCGTGATGACATCATCCAATTAGTGAAGTGTTCTGCACGGAGCTGTGAGCCCGTGGCATCACAAAACTACAAACATCCTCAATGATGTCATTCGTACGACCTCTGCACAGTGTACTATAGTCTGTTTCAAAAAGATTAGCAATCAGCTTTTGGTCTTAAAAAGTAGGAGGATAAGGGAAAATTGGACAACGAAGTACATAACAGGGCTGGTTAGGGCACGGCAAATTGTTCTGTGAAGGTTTTGGAACAATTGGACCAGCCGTTAAAGGGGAAGTTAAGGCAAAAATTAAAATTTCACCGGTTGTAGTCTTCGGGGTGCTGAGTCGAATGGTCGTGGTCCGAGGAAGCTGAGACGCTCCCTTCCTACTTGAATCCCAATCGAACTCGCGCACTTCCACCGAAACTGGGTGACTGCGCCCTACTAGATGGGGATTTGTATGCAAAATGTCACTAAAAGCGCCATTTCGTTCTTATAAAAGCACGGATGACCGCGATTGGCCCATATGTTGTAGTCTTTTGGACGCCGAGTCGACTGGTTTTGGTCCGAAAAGGCTGCGATGCAGCGTTCCTCCTTTATTCCCAATCGAACATGATTGAACAAGCGGTCACGTGCTCCTGGGTGCCCAAATCACCTGGTCACCACGCCAGCAGGCGACAACTTTCACACCAAGGTTCAACTCGAGTGACAGGACTGCACCCAAAAAAGGTCAAACAGGCTAGTAAGTTGTACCCTGCAGGCACGGTGACCAGGTGACTAGCGTACGCAGGAGCACGTGACCGCTTGTTCAACCATGTTCGATTGGGAATAAAGGAGGAACGCTGCATCGCAGCCTTTTAGGACCAAAACCAGTCAACTCAGCGTCCAAAAGACTACAACATATGGGCCAATCGCGGTCATCCGTCCTTTTATAAGAACGAAACGGCGCTTTTAGTGACATTTTGCATACAAATCCCCATCTAGTAGGGCGCAGTCACCCAGTTTCGGTGGAAGTGCGCGAGTTCGATTGGGATTCAAGTAGGAAGGGAGCGTCTCAGCTTCCTCGGACCACGACCATTCGACTCAGCACCCCGAAGACTACAACTGGTGAAATTTTAATTTTTGCCTTAACTTCCCCTTTAAGGAGTTAGAATTTCGGCCAGGTTTCCGGCCTTTTCCCATGGTTTACAATTTGCCCTGGAAGCCAGTATCGATTTTTTTATCAAAACCCACGATTTATCTTTTCCTTTTTGGCCTTGTGGTTATGGATGCTGTCTGCTGACCATGAAGTTGTGAATTCAAATCCTAACCTATCTGCAACTCAAACTTTTTTTCATTGTTTTTTGGTGATCAAGCAGACTTGTTGTTCACGGTTGTTGTTGTTGGAGCTCCCGCTTCCTCCCGAACTGACTGACACTTGACTGGCTCACGCCATGTGAACACACCCACAACACTAAAACGGTGTGTGTGTGAATACGGAAGTCATTGCGCTGTAGCTACGTGTTGAATACACCGGCACATCGATCCGGCGATCGATTTCTTTTTGAGAATTATTTTAGTATTTCAAGATCGCCAATTTATTTGAATTTAGAAGTCAACGCCGTCTTCTATCAGCTTCCACAGGCGTCTGCTTTTCTCAAAATGTTGTCGAAGTCATATGGATAGCTTCGCCAAGTCATGGCCTTGGGAATGAGTCTGTGTCGATGTCGTTTTCGTCACATGGTGAGAGTAAATTGCATCGCAGCTCAAAGAAACTATTTGGTCACAAAACATATTGGACCCATGCCGCTCGTCAGCCTCGGCATTTACTACACTAACAACTTTCGACATTTCCTCTCTGAGTCCATAATCGATACGAGGAAGAACTCGTTTGTTGTGAACCAGACGTACACGACTGTACCGACATTACACACACGCGCGTCGCGACCTGAGTGAGTTGTCATTTTTCATGCTTTCGCGCGGAATATTTCTTCGAGTTCACAGTGAGTTTTTCCAGGCAGCGCTCGAGCACTCATACGGCAAGACGGCAAACTCCCCGGGCGATCACCAGGATTGCTAATCTTTTTGAAACTGACTGTAGTGTGCAGTAGGACGTACCAGTACTACAAGTTGTAGTACATTATGTCGAGCAGTACAAGTCACTATACTGACCTGAGGATGAAGTGGAACAGATACGCTTTTTAGCCGGACGCATGTCACTACTCCTGACACCAGCAGCGGCACCGTTGCTGCTGCTGCTGCTGCTGTTGGATACTGCTGCAGCAGGTGTGTCACGGTCATCGTGTGAGTGTGATGTACAGGCACGCTTGGCACCGGCACGAGTTGTACGACGAGCGCTGCTGCCAGTGGCTGAAGGCAATACCGGACATGATCAACACACACACACACAAACACACGCACAGTGACACACACGTACGCACGCACACAACAACTCTGTTTCACCACAGCACGCACAGAGCAAACCGCCGTCAACCTACCAAGATGATGCTACAGTATGAACTAGGTCACTGGTTGGTTATGTCCCATGCAATATATCTTCACGTCAGTGGTGTGTGCACTGCGGGTCATGTACTGTAAAACCTGGCAAGGCAACCACTCTGATAAGGCAACCACTCTGATAAGGCAACCACTCTGATAAGGCAACCACTCTGATAAGGCAACAACCTGCCCAAGAGGACCGCTACAACCAGAACCAAGGGGTGTCATTTCCAGTCAAATGACCCTGGATAAGAAGGCCACCTGTACACGGGGACCACATTTTGAAGGTCCCTTGCGCGGTCGGCGTAGGCCCCGGTCACACCGAAACAAGCCACTTTGGGCTTGTTATCGCTGGCGCTCAGCTGGCTTGCGTGATCCCTGTGACGCGCCGCGGTCACACCAGACCTTGAGTGCAAAGCTTGAATGGCTTGTTTTTCTTACCCGCCAAATTTTGAATATCTCGAAACACACCATTGTTTGCAAGAAACTGGAGAGCAGAACGTTCGCGATCTAAAACTGTACTTGTTCTAGTGTTCAGTTTTGATGAAGAAGCAAAGGAAGCCCGGATTCTGAATTGCGAAGTCGTGCTCTTTTTATTTGTTCGGTGTGCAAGGACGCGATGGTTCGGGTGGTGTTTCCTGATGTCGAGCTTTCTGCCCCGCCGGTTGGCGTTATTGAACTCAGTTGCAATCCACTCTCTTCTTCGTACCCGGCTTTCTTCATGAATTCGGTCGTGAGTGTGGTGCCTTGTCTTGGCCTCAAACCACAGCTCCAACAATCTACGCAGCAGTCTAGAGGCACACCGGCAGAAATCCATGGTCGTCGGACAAAATCCAAATCAAACTGAATACAGTGTAGTTGGGGCAGCGACTCACGGTCAAAACCAAAGGCACAGGGGTAGCACGGTTCCACGGACACAAGAAAGAACATCAATATCAGTTCATCATGTCAACTAGCTACATGGTGTGCTCCGGAGCTCCAAGCGCACTCAAATTATTTTTTTGATATTATTTCGGCTTTCAGCCGCTTGTACAAGCTGTGGCTGAAACAAGCCGGAAAAAACGGCTGAGAGTCAGCCACGGCTGAAAGTCGCTTGTAGGACATTTTTCAGCCATTTCCATGGTAATAGTGACGTAAACAAGCGCTTGTTTCGGCTGAACGGCTGAATCGAGCTCGGTGTGACCGCGGCCTAAGGCAGGTTTCACTGTATGATGTGAAAACCCCCTGCTGTATTCTCAGTGCAGTGCTTACCATGCTTGGATTTCGCTGCTTCAAGTCGCTGCTTTCTGTCCATGTCAGCCTGCTGTTGCTGACGATCAGCCAGGAGGTTCTGCAGAGCGCCGAGCTCCCACTGGTGCACCTCAAACGACCAGATGGCGTCGATCAGGACACTCGGCTTCACACTGCAAGAGAGATACAGCACGGTGAGAGACAGGCCGGCATGTACGCGCGCACACACACACGCACGCGTGCGTGCACACGTCCACACACACACGTCCACACACGCACACAAGCTGCTTAGCATGCCTCTAAGGGCAGTAAAACGTGTCTACTTTACTGTTACAAATAAGGACAAAGGACCGGGCTAGCGCATGCATAGTCCTCAAATTGTATTTTCTGCACAATTATCATCTTATAAAGCGTGCCTAAATTCATAGATCTACTACTCCCAGTTCATATACATGTAGGAACAAAGAGGCGGCAAGTTGCCCAAATACGCGTGCATAAGGCAGAGCATTTATGGCCAGCGACATCACCTGGACAACCAATGCAATTGTTCTGTGCTGTACTTCCATGGCAACTACTACCCCAGTAATCCAGTAACACAGAAACAGTAAGTGCCTTTCTAGCACTGGAGAACAAGCAACTGTGGCCCAGAGTCAACAAGCAAACCTCTCACGGGACAGCCAACGCTTACATGTCATATGGGAGGTGCTGGAGAAGTCGAATCATGGTACTGATATCATTCGTAGCCAGTAGTTGGTCTGGATATCGAAAAAGAAGGAAGAAAAAAGAGAAGACAGGCAAATTTAAAGCAGGTCCATTCTGATGTCAACGACGGCTTCGGATCCCCACATCTGAACATCTGACAAGCGTGTGCTGTGGATCCGATTCACGTAGTAACTGGAAAAAGGGAGACATTGGGCATGCGGGATGTTGACGTGAACAACTGTACCGTGGACACACAGTACAATGAAAATTGAGTCAAACCACACCGTTGCACATGGTACATGTCACTTAGTGCGCTCTGCCAGTGCAACAACGGCGTGTGTGCACTCTACTGTATCTGCATAGCCGCACAACACACGTGTACACACACACACACACACACACACACACACACACACACACACACACACACACATGTGCGTACACACGCACACATATGCACACATATGCACATACACACACACGCTTACCCGAGAGCAGACGCATAATGGCCAACGCCACTCTGCAGATGGCGGTGATGCCCTCCAGCAGCATCAAGTCCCAGATAGCAAGGACAGTCTCCCAGCAAGGTAGCAATGTAAACAGTGTCATGAACCATGGAGTCAAGTAGAGCAACGGGTACACATTGTGTTGATCCTGAGCAACACAACAACAGAGTCAAGAACAAGAGAGATCACAATACTTGTTATACCACGGCACTGTACAGTCTACTCGCAGTAAGTCACACACTCGCGACAAGTCACGCACTCGCGATAAGTCCCACAGTTTTGTTCCCAAGACGGAGCACGTGACTTATTGAGAGTAGGCTGTAACAAATCACGCAAAGGCAGCCACTTTAATACCGAATAAATTTAGTGATGTGTAAGATAATAGCGAATATTTCTGCTTGTTAAGTCATTGTCAGGTATACAGTCATGCTATATGAATGACACCAACGCATATATTTCGAATTGAGTGGCAAACCGGTGATGCAATGATGACATAATGACATCGTCTCTATATTGGCCAAGCAATCTGGGAAGGGGGGGGGGGGGGGGGTGAGAGTTGCTCCAAGCCTGCAGTACTGTACATCTTCATTCAGACAGCCATGCTTACCAAGTGCTCGCTCAGCTCTGGCAGATGGTGATGCAGGAGTTCTTTGAAGATGTTGGCATACAGATGCATCCTGGACAGGACAACAAATTCAAAATGTCACCCAAATTCACGTGACCTAGGTATCACAATCACCATCAGAAAAAAGGACCCAGAGCATCGAAAATGATAAACCATCAAAAATCAGTGTGCAAGAATGGAGTCGGGTGGAGAGCCAAGGATTAATTAGTTGTAGAACATCAGTACCGTCGGTCAGTGCCGCGGAATGTTATCGCATGAGCTGGTTGTTTAGTAACTGGTGGTGTTAGTGGACATTATAGCATAACGTGTAGTTCCTTGGTCCTTTTCTTTACTATAAAATGAATCAGTGTGTTCACGGTATGTATAAAGCATGACTTACTTTGACAAGGAAGCGTCGAAGAAACCAAGGAGATACTTTGGCCGCTCGAACAAGGATGCCAAGCACCAGAACGCATCCTGCATCAAATATACAAAAAGTAAAATACAATCACCCATCATACACTAATCGCACGTGTGCGTGCGCTCGCACACACACACACTTCCACGCACAATCTTCAGATATATTTTCATTTCCATTCGTGGCAAATGCCCCCCTCCCCGTACCGTGATACACAGATCCGCATAGAGAATCAACTACGTCGGATACTGTGAATTAAAAGCACGACCCACCTCCTCATCCATGTGTATAAGCAGCATTCCTGCTATAAAACTCATGCCCTGGCAGTACCCCACCGCCGAGTTGTAGCGCTCGTACGCAGCCAGGATGTGCAACAGACGCGGTCGAGAGCTCCCGGTGCAGCCGCCAAACTTTGCCAGGTTCTGGTCGCAGCGGGCCAACGCAGCTGCGTCCATATCTCCCTCAATGAAGAGCCGGTGGCTAGGGAATGTACGACCTGAGTCGCACAAACATATAAACAGAAGAAAATTGTCAACACACTCCCCCATATAGCACCATTCATTTTACGGATTGGCAGGGGGGAGAGAGAGAGAGAGAGAGAGAGAGAGAGAGAGAGAGAGAGAGAGTGTGTGTGTGTGTGTGTGTGTGTGTGTGTGTGTGTGTGTGTGTGTGTGTGTGGGAGAGAGAGAGAGAGAGAGGGGGAGGGAGGGAGAGAGAGAGAGCGTATGTGCGTGTGAGAGAGAGTGTGTGTGTGTGTGTGTGTGTGTGTGTGTGTGTGTGTGCGTGTGTGTGTGTGTGAGAGAGAGAGAGAGAGAGAGAGAGAGAGAGTGTGTGTGTGTGTGTGTGAGAGAGAGAGAGAGAGAGAGAGAGAGAGAGAGAGAGAGAGAGAGAATGAGAATGAGCCTGTGTGCAACAGCTCTGCTTTATACTTGAGCAAATACCATGATCCTGGAGAATGGCGGCATCCCGATGGATGTGGAAAACTCAATCTGACTTAGTCTCACACGGACCCGGACCAAAGATTGAGAAGAGGAAGAACACACATACCAGTGTCAAGCAGAATTTGCTTTAGTGCTACGTAATGCTTGGCACGACCCTCGTCCACACAATCATCTGCAGCAAGGCACACAAACACAAAGCACCAGAGTGTAAGAGAAAGGGAGAGAGAAAGGGGTGTGAAGAGAGAGAGAGAGATAGTCGGAAAATGAATGTGAGAGAGGAGAGAGAACACCGGATAGCGAATGGGGGGGGGGGGGGGGGCTGAGTCGGCTGGTGAAAGAGAGATGAGAGAGAGAGAGCACGCGAAAGAACGAGAAAGAGAGAGAAGAGCGAGCTCGTAATAGAAAAGGATGAGGGCGACATATGCACAACTGGGAAGAAAGACAACTGACAGGAAGGGCTTCGGCCTTTTCATTGCTACCCATCATAATAACAGTAGTAAGCAGAGAGGGAATAGAGCGATAGCAAAGACACTGAGGAGAATAGAGCGATAGCAAAAACACTGAGCGTACACCCGTAGTATCACATCAGATGCCATCCAGGTCTACTGGACATACCAGCTAGCGTCGAGAGCCTGCTGATTGTGTTATGGCCACCAATCTCACGAAGACCGTTGTCGGAAAAGAACACCATCAACCGTCCAAGAGTGGCCTGGTGTAAGAAGATGAAAAAGAAAGAGAAGAAACACAATGAGCATATCGGGTAGCTTGTCAACCTGCAACGACACTATGCCCCATAATCATATGGGTCATGCAACTGCTTCAAAAAAGTACTGTCAGCCAACTGCTAAAAGACGGTTGTTGATCGAAATGAAAAAAATTGGAACAAATTGCGACTCAGTTTATCGCTTATAGGCATCAGTCGTACAGCGTCAAGTTTGACTTTGGACGCTGCGTCAAACCCAAGCACTTGACGCAGACATGGGGTCACACTGGCCATGACTGTTGCAGCCTGACACACTTCACATCGCTCACCGGCGACCCGATTCGCTACGGTATGCAGTGGTCAAAGACACGGTTTCTCATGCAAATATTAGCTGTAGCACACACAGAGACACACAGATACACACAGAGACACACACACAGACACCCCCCCCCCCCCCCCCATACAGACACCCACACACACACAGACACCCACACACAGACACCCCCCCCCCCCCCCCATACAGACACCCACACACACACAAACACCCACACACAAACATGTACGCGCACACACAGACACACACAGAGACACACAGAGAGAGACACACACACATACACACACAAACACACACAAACACACACAAACACAAACATGTACGCACACACTCGCACAGACTACCTTGAAATCAAACGTGCTGTTCGTTCTGAGCACATCCGACGCCAGGAGCTTTCTCCAGACAGCACCGCGGTGCATGCGAGGAACGCCTTGTCGCAGACGACTTGCAATCTAAGACCATCGGTACACAAACACACACAGACACATGCACACACACACACACACACACACACACACACACACACACATGTGCACGTACAATTGTATCAGCTGAAGCACGACCAAGTTGTAATACGAATTGTGCAACATGATGTCGGGGTTACCAAGTGAGCAATTATGATTGCAGTTTCAAATCACTTTTTGTAATACTGACGCGTCATGTGTCACACTTCTTTGGATTTTCCCTTGATCACTTTAGTTCCGTATTTCCACTGATGATCAGAGCTTGAAAATCGATTCTGGAAACGCACAATCTCAAACCCTGAACAAATTGTCATGTTGCGTGGTGATGTCTGCGGCATTCATACTTTTCATAGCTATTATTAAACTTTTATCTCCACGTAGATTATTTGTATATTCAACTAATTGAAATCTTTTTCATGTGTAGAGTAATTCCAATCCAACATGCACCATTGCATTGTATCGTTGGGAACTGCTACTTTATATGCTGGCCCGAATGGGAGTATCATCGAAAACCACATGCCAAGTGAAATCTCCATTTGCCTGTCCATCTGTGTGTGTGTGTGTGTGTGTGTGTGTGTGTGTGTGTGTGTGTGTGTGTGTGTGTGTGTGTGTGTGTGTGTGTGTGTGTGTGTGTGTGTGTGTCTCTCTCTCTCTCTCTCTCTCTCTCTTTCCTCCCATTTCCTCCACTGCACAGGCTGCATATAAAGAGTGGGGTAATTTCCAACTCTACCACTCGTTGTTCTTTAAAAATCAGTCGCTCGGTCCTGGAGGGAACAACGAGGACACTGTTTCCGTGAGCCCAGCTACCGCCGGACCACCTGCGTCCCCAACACTATCAGAAGAACCAGCTGAGACATCGACCACCAGTGTTGCTGGTGCCGCATCCATCACAGCGTCTCCCGTTGTTCATTCTCCCATTGTTGTTCATTCTCGCCGCCACTGTCGATCGTCGGACTCCGAGTCCGAGGTTGCTTCTCAGCTTGAGCCCGGCCGGAAGCCTGCCCGGAAAACAACCTGAAAACGGGAGGATCATAATCCATCTATGATAGATGCCGTTCTGGAATCGCAGGAACGCCAGATACAAGCCGATCAGGAAAGAGCACGGCAGAACGAGGAGATTCAGGAGCGCATGGAGGCATGCCGACAAGAGAATGAGGATAGGCAAGAAAGAGAAAGAAGGGAAGAAGAAGATCGGCGTGCCAGGGAGAGGCGGGAGGAGGACGACCGGCGTGAGCGAGAAAAGCGGGAGTATGATGAAAAGAAGACAAGGGAAGAGAGGGAGTACCAGGAGAAACGAGAAGAGGTCAGAGAAGCGAAAGCCGCTGAAGTGCGCATGGAGGAGAAGGCATTCAATGCCCAACTTCTCCAAAGCCTGTTGCGGAAGTAAGACGAACTCAATATCTCCGTCATCTCTCCGAAGAAGAAGAAGAAGATTCCCTGATGAGTCCAGCGGGGACGAAACGTATGTCGAAATCGAGCTATGTCGTTGCTGTGTCATCTTCTATGTGCCATGCGCTACTTGATGTACCAGCCTGCTATGTCGGATGCCGCCAACCATGCATCGACTAGGCGCCAGGCATGAACTGATGGTGGTGGTGGTGAGAAGGAGAGCTCTGTGCCAGAACTTTGCAGCCTAGAGAGCGTGTGTGGGCAGGCGTGTGTTTACCGCCATAGTGCCAGGTGTGTCTTTGAAATACCACCATATTTATCAACCAACTCAAACTGAGTCAAATCAAATTTTAAAATATTGATTGATTATGTAAAAAGCTTGTCAAAGCTTGTACAGTCAGACCTCGCTTAACCGCACACATCCGTTTTCCACAAAAATATCCGGATAGGCGAGGGAACCGGATAACTGAACACACATACTCTATATGCATGTGGCATATCAAAATGGGCGGCATCGTACATACATGTATACGGATCCTATGCAGAACAACTAGCGTGCACAATATGTAAAACAAGCGAGAAAAATGACAAGTGCATGCAACTGAGTGCTATCCGCATGCATGCAGCAGGTCAAGGACCTCATTTGTTTGTACAACTCCCTGATTCTACCTTCTGCAAGCCACGTGCAACCAGATACGACGAAGCATTTTGTACATATTTCGACCAGTTTGTACACAAAATCATGCACCGGTATGCGGATCGCGAGGTCCGGTTATGTTGTATGCGTAACGTATGCTGCACATCGGTAACCAACGATTTTCTTCCGGATGGCGAGGGATCCAGATAAACGAGGACCGGATAAGCGAGGTCTGACTGTAAAAGTATAACACGTACTGGCCATTCCAGCGGGATACACGTGCAGTGTGATTGCGATTCCCGGGATTACGCTGCAGCATTTCGGCGGCCGTTCACCCCAGTCTGAACGCGCCCTAATAGCAAGAGTATATGAAAACCAGATTGTGCAGCTTGGGGCATTTTCTACTATGGGTGTCTGGCACGGCGGAATTCCGCAATTACATCATATTCGGAGCAGATCTGAGGTGGGAAATAGCGTAGTGCGTGCAACTGCGTTGCAGTTGTGCAGAAAGAGACCTGATTGAATCCTGCTTGTACGCACTACATCACTACAAATGATGTAATCACGGAATTCCGCCGTGACAGCAACCCATCCGAGCTGCACACTCTGGTTTCATGTACTCTTGCTAATAGCAATTATGATGTTTGAACAGGTGGCATGGAGACAATAATCATAATACAGGTCCTCCCTCATTATAACGAGTCCGGTTTGTACATAAACCCAGTTAGTAAATAGAAATCTGAAATCCCCTGGCAAAATGTGGTCTATACAACTGTTTACAGGTCAGGTTACAACATAATTCGTTAGTAGATAAAATTCGTTATAATGACCCTTTACCCAGGTCCCTGGAGTGCCAAACCCTCAGTACAAGATAATATTGACCGTGGAGGACAAAGGCCAAAAACACGTAGGATAAAGCAGAAAGACGCAACGTATTATATCTATGTATTCGTAGATATGGACGATCTTTTGCATCCAAGGAAGAGCTATTATTCCAGGCTGAAGAGCGCAGTGCAATGGTGGGGGAAGAGCTATGTTGAAGATTTTCAATTATCTTATAACAAGTCGAAGCGTCGATGATTTATGTTGTATCGAGGGTAGCCCAGGTAAGTACGAATTAGTGCCTATTTCACCCTTAGGGCGCGTTCAGACTACCGATAAAAAGTGACGGAATGGAAAAGTTGCCAAGGTGATTTGCTCACGTGACGTTACTGGCACGTTACCGGCGGAAAAGTTTTACTGCCGCGGCAGTAAAGTTTTCCCGGCAGTAAAAAAGTGCTCAGGCTGCATGCGCGCTGTGAAAAAGGGAAAATCCCTTCTCAGCGCCGCGGTGAGAGGTGCTAAACTTACGTACCGGTAACGTTAGTTTATCGGCGGTGCGAATGTCCTTCACGGTTTATCGGCATTCACGGTTTGGCGGGGTTCACGGTAGTCTGAACGCGCCCTAAGCTGCAAGTCCTGTTACAAGACAAGTCTCGTTATAAGATAACTTTTTCGATGGCCCAGAGATTATCTACTATTAAATGAGGGAGGACCAGTACCAGAAGAATGTACAAGCTTATATCACAAACACGGCGTGTTCCTATTTTATTTAGTAACAAGATTCCATTGACAATAGTGACAAGAAAACTTTCAGGAACATAACCGCTGTATCTAAGACTATGGTCACGCAGGGGCGTCCGAAGGCATTCAACATTGGTGCGGCCATGAAGAGGGGGGGGGGGGGGGGGGGAGGGAGGGGGCTACCCCCGACTCTTCATGGCTGCACCAATGTTGAATGCCTTCCGACGAAAAAATTGGAAAGTTGGGCCCAAATAGCCCATATTTTTCTCTTTTGTTATGGTTCCTTTTGCTGTTGTGCACGTGGAACGTGGTGTGTCGGTTTATTATTTTGTGGAATATCATCAAGAGGGCCAGGTGTTGTATAATGGTGTAGAGTAAAACCTGGTTTAACCCCCCCCCCCCATGGTGCAAGCAAAAGCGGTCGTTAAAGCCAGCTGGTCTTTAAAACCAGGTCCAATACATTCGCGGCATATCGGATCTTGCAATATTACTTGAATATACTCATATTGACAGGTGTAAAGCATGGAACACTTTGGTGCAGGCAAAGCACACATCAGTTTCACACTGCACTCAAGTGCATGCAGTGCACCACCCTCCACTGTCACTTCTTTTGACTGCATGCCCTCTCTTCTGAGCCCACCTCAACCCTGTTGCAGTCAAGCCTGCGAGCCAGGATGGCACTTTTGGCTAGTTTTGGTCGCAGTATGCAGGTCAGATACGGCACCTGGTACACTAAAAGTCGGCCGCTGGTCGCGCAAGGCAGGCGGTCGCTGTATCCGGTGCAGTTCTGTGTAGAACTGTCGGTGCGTGGAAAAGCGGTCGTTAACAGCAGGTGGTCGCTGAAACCAGAGGTCGCTTGAAATCAGGTTTTACTGTCTTTCCAAGTTTTATACACTGTCTTTCCAAGTTTTATACACTGTCTTTCCAAGTTTTATACACTGTCTTTCCAAGTTTTATACACTGTCTTTCCAAGTTTATACACTGTCTTTCCAAACTATGGACAGTGCTCGGTGCCCGAGTGCCCGGATCAGAGAGACGTGAGCAGCGCACTCCACCTACCCGTGGTGGCGTGCCCGTTGTGTAGTCGTTCCAGTTCTTCAGGATCTTGTCCCAGTTGTGAGTGCGGTCGCTATGCTTGGCCGTCTCGACAAACCTGCAGGACACGTGACAGGTGAAGTCAGACAGACACCAATAGGCTGGGGTTAGGAAATCACCGACTCTGATCTTAAAAGTATCCTGGAAAGTGCACTGTAAGTTACGGTATATATGTACATGTATCAGCACTTCGTACGCACGCGTGAAGCTGTCATGCAGTGCATGGTGTACATGTACCCTGCCCCCCCCCCTCCTAAGGTACCTGTAAGTGTTGCAGATGTTGAAAAGTGTCTTAAAGCTGTGGATCCATTCAAAGCTGCCGGCAGTGACTCTGTACCTGGAATTGTCCTGCGGCAATGCGCAAATGTGCTTGCTCCACCACTTTCCTGTATCATTAATAGTTCACTACAGAGTGGTGTTGTGCCCACCACGTTCAAGCACTCCCACATCAGTCCCCTGCATAAAGCCGGAGACCGCTCATCAGCCCGCAACTACAGACCTGTATCCTTACTCCCTATCGTTTCGCGTATCCTAGAGCAGTTTGTGAAGAGACAGCTGACAGAATATCTGTACAGCAATGATTTATACCCGATGACTCAATTTGCATATCGACCCCGCCATTCAACAGAAGATGCATTGGTACTAGCAGTGAATCGCTGGCTATTAGCGAAATCCGAGCGCAAATACACCGGTTTGGTTATGATTGATATGTCGAAGGCGTTTTATCGTGTACAACATGAGAGGCTGGTTAATGAACTGTACACCCTAGGCATTGGAGGAGCACCCCTACACTGGTTCTGTGACTACCTCAGTGGCAGGTCACAGCAAGTGAGGGTGCTGGACAGCTTGTCTTGCTCTGTTGGCTGTACGCGTGGTGTTCCGCAAGGGAGCGTTCTTGGACCCATTCTCTTTGTGTTGTACACCCGTAATCTGCACACAGCACTTCCTGCAACTGTCAATCACCAAGAATTTGCTGACGATATAATCCTTGATTTCTCCCATCCTCACTTAGATTTTGTTGGCAGAACTCTGACGAGAGCAGTAACTGATATCTCCCGATGGCTTGAAGACATCGGCCTCGTAATGAATGCCAGCAAGACTCAGGTCATGTTCGTTCAGCCTCGTGGCGCAGCCATTGCCACGCCCGATGTTTTCTGCAACAACGAGCAACTGGAGGTGACGGCCACCGCAAAATACCTTGGTGTGATCGTCGACGACCAATTGTCATGGAGGCCACATGTCGACTATGTGTCACGTAGAACTGCACAAACCATAGGGCAATTGTGGAGACACGGGCGTTCACTAACGCTTAGAGCTCGACGGTCGTGGTACACCAGTATGGTAAACAGCCAGCTGTGTTATGCTTCAGCAGCATTCTACCCAAGCCTCACAGCTCAGCTTCTCGACCGTTTGGGGAAGATCAGCAAGGCTGGAGTCAGAGCTGTGTTTCAGCTCCCTCGTCAAACACCGACCGCACCTCTTATTTCTAGATTAAATATTTCCCCACTGATCCACCATTTTAAGCTCAAGATTGTTGTTTTTGTCCATAGATGTCTTGCCTCCAATGCAAGCATGCTATTTTCGCCTTTCTTTCTGTTGATCGCTGAACCTGGTCTTGAGCAAAGCACACGCCGTGTTACACGTGGCCAGGTCTCACGTCTTCTCCAAATTCCATTCGTTCGTGGACCAGCATCTCGAGCGTCCATGCAATTTGTGGGCAGCGTGTATTGGAACAGGCTTCCGGCAAATATTCGTTGCCATGAAGATATTCTGGGTTTCAAAGCCCTGCTGTGCCCAGATGTTCTTGACACGCTTTCTCTGTCTTGACTCATTCGTCAGACATGTGCATTTTGATCTTTTGGTTTGGTCTCTAATCGACAAACTGACTTTTCTCCTCAAATACCTCAACTTCTCTATTTCTATTTCATACATCTGCTTCGTTTATTCCTAACTCTTTTCTTTCTATCTTTTTTCTTTTCTTTCCCTTATTTAATCACTGTCACTCACATACAAATACCGTCATAAAATATAAAACACAAGATTTTCTCATCTTTTTTCTATTTCTTGTTTTTCATTAGCTTTAGCATGTTCATTCACATTCTTCATCATTTGTGAGAACTAGACCTGGTCTAGTGAGAAGGCATTCTACTGCCTGTAATTCTGGTGAAGTAAAATAAAGTAACAACAACAACAACCTACGCCGTAGTCTCCAAGGACAAAGACCATTCCACTCAGCACCCAGAAGACTACAGGTTCTGAAGTTTGACCCGAAGTTCCTCTTGGTCATATTAATTAGTATACAATAGTCTTGTAGACGATTTTTGCTTCGTGACTTTCGCACATTTTATGTCATGACGTTGACTGAATAGAATTGATGATGATCGTTCATGGAAAGGATTCCTTGCAGGAGCTACATTCTCGCAAACGTAAACAGCAGAAGACAGCAGGCAATCTCAGGCCTGAACGCCCACCCACTGATCAACTGCCTCGCACTTGTCAACTGATGCGCAACCTTTCGCCTAGGAAGGTGCGAAACACACTGTGCTAGTGATAGTTTGGTCAGGAAAAAAATACGTTGACCAGTGTCTGGCGGAACTGCAGGATTTCAGTCCTAGGCATGCAGTGAAGAGTTCAACGCATGACTAATTCAGCTACTCGACAGAGGGAAAGTCATACTCAAAAATCGCTGCCAGGCCATAATGACAGAGTGTGTCCACGTCCTATTTATCGACAGCTCTGTTTTCTCTCACCAGTATTCGTGGCAGCGTTCCTCGTCATCTTCCCCATTCTGCACGGCAAATCCATACGGGTCGAACTCAACCATGATGCAGCCAATTACTCTAACTATAGGAGGTTTTCTCTTGACTCTACTGTCTTTGTGTTTTCATGGTAGCCTTTCTCATTCTTGGACAACGACAAGTCACAAAAGTTTCTGCTGGCTCGGTGTCAGTCGAACTGCTGGGTGCACTTTTGAAACGAATTTCAAAATCTCCGCCTTCTGTTTCCATGGCAAATGGCAAGATGTCATTTTACCATCACGCGCACTACGCAGAGTCGCAGACCCAGTGCAGTACAGGCGCACATGCATGCTAGCGTGCACGAGGCACCCGGATCGCGGAGTCCCGGACCCGCGCCGCACGGTACGTAAGCGCATGCTAGCGTGCATGAGGCACCCGGATCGCGGAGTCCCGGACCCGCGCCGCACGGTACGTATGCGCACGCTACTACAGAGTCAGTCCATTCAGAAAAAGATGGTACGGACCAGGAAGTAGTAAAATTACTACTCCCTGGTACGGACCGTATCCTACCGGCGGTAGGATACCCTCCCTGCTTTTGGCCATAAACGGGTCAAATTCATTTAGAGTTTTCGTCACAATCTTTTTGGCCCCCAATGCCCCCCATGCATGCATGGGGGCCCATATGGAATGCGCTTCGTGTTTTTGAAGTCTATTTCTCCAAAAAGCAAGCCACACAAGGATTTCGGCCAGGTTGAGGTGCCTTTTTTGGACCCTTTTCAAGTAATAGTTTCGAATCGCGCGGCACTGCACAGTGTACCACAAAATCGCCAAACACGGGAGCTCGCCACCCACCAGAGCCAGCGCTCATCTTTTTCTGACTGTAGTATACCAGGGCCATTACTGCACCGTCGCTAGCACGTCTACGCTAATGCTGTACTACCGGCTTGAGTTTCAAACACAAAAATCCACAAAATCGTACTGTATGGGGCGCCACTCTTTCACGGGGGGGGGGGGGGGGGGGCTCAATGATCAGTCAATTAGGCCAGGGGGCGCTTAGGGTAGGGGGCTGACCCCCCCCCCCCCCCCCCTACAATCCTTTGGTTAGAAGCCGTGACATTCCTTGGCCGCATGGTACATGTACCATAGTCTAGGCATATGCGGATAATGCCGGCAGAAAAATTGGCAGAATGCGGTACTTTTTCCGGTAAGTTCCGGCAATTCAAGGAATTGCCCGCCATAAGGTTTGTATGGTTCTGCCATTTCACTGCTTTTCGAGCAGAATCTGCCACCTTTTCGAGCATTATCCACCAATGCCTACCATAGTCACAATGATGGGCAGGCGCAAACACCCGGCGCCGCCGACCAAACTTAGATGCTATAATTGTGATGAAAAAACTAGTAAGTTCCTTGAACCTGATACAGCATGTGCCACCACATATGCACTGTCAGTACATCACAGTGTGACTTGTAAGTAGTTGACTTGTTGTATTCAAAGCCCCAGAGAGAAAAGGGAAACCAAGGAGGGGTCCAGGTGGAAAAGGAAAACTGTAAAGATTAGAACATTGAAAGAATCAGTCACGTACATGATACGCGTGTGACTTGTAAGTAGTGTAAAGGACCACCTCATGAAGATAGTGATCTGGCACTGGAATAATCAGTCTGGGAAGACTGAGACATGGAGGTTAGCTCAGTCAAATAAATTGCCAAAACCTTCGGCACAAACAAATGCAAAAACAGCCGCTGAGCAGATCACCAAACACATCATGATGACACCAATTGCAAAACTTAAAGTAATCAATATCAGCCACTAGTGTCAGAACTAGCGAGCTTGACACCTTCCCGCGAAAACCTGGCAAAATTAATTAAATTTGCTTGAAGAAAAAAGAAAGCCGGAATGACTGGCTTCTAAAATCGGCACACTTGGCAATTTTCAACTGAGCACCGGCAAATTGGCCCGACCGAGCATTAGATATACTTCAAAACCTATAATATGCATGAGTGTGTTTCTGAGCACTGGATGAGGGGGGGGGGGGGGGGGTGTTCTGATAATCAATGAGATTTTGACACTACATCAGGCAGATCTATTCCTGAGAAACTCAGATTGTTTAAAAACAACGATACTTGTCCAGTAAAAACATCCCTATTATGACATTGACTGGGCCCTTCAACTAAAACAAAATATACGAAGAAGGTAAGTCTACAAACGTCACCGTCTGAATGACGTCAGCAGGAATCCGGCACAGATAGAAACATATTATAGCAAGAGAGAGAGAGAGAGAGCTTATTCAGAGGCTTGATCTGATGGCGAGCGCAAGCAAGGCTGCACTGAACTAGTAAGTAACACTATGTGTGGCAATGCCGTCAGAACAAACCTTTCGCGCCTGCAATCAGCTCATTGATAGCCGCAGCCGGGGCGGAAATCTGAGCCGCAATCCATTTCTTCGCCTTCTTCTCCATGAGCGAGTACGCTGCCGCCTTGCTGGCACATTTCACGTGTAGGTATGCGAGCGCAACAGCAGTAGCCCATACTTTGCTTGCTGTCGTAGCTGATGTGGACACGGAGAGATTACTTGGTTGCGCGGCAGAGATTGCACTCCTGGACAGGCCAACTGCCACTGCCAGTGGATCATCCAGCAGCCAAAAGCCACTGACATGCTGCAGGGAGGCTATTGCCTGTAGTGGATCCACTGCAGTTCCTTGTGGAGGCTTTGGCACAGCGGCAATACTAGCTCCTTGTGGTTCGGCGCAAAACAAGGCATCATCACTTAACAGAGATGTTTGTCGGCCTAGTGACCTTTCTGACTCATCTGAGTCGTCTTCCTCTAGAGACAGAAGTGATAGGAAATCGGTGTCGGGTTGGCTTGCATAATTCATAACAGGCGCTGCTGGAGGAGGCGGCGGTGCCGATGATGAACTGGAGACAATACGCGCCACTGCTCGTCTTTCTGCTGGTGGTGGTCCACCGCCAAACACGCCTGATGGTGGTGGCGGTCCAACCCCAAACATGGCTGCTTGCGGTGGTGGTGGTCCTGGTGGTGCACCACCAAACATGGCTCCTCCTGGTGGTGGCGGTGGAGCGCCCATTCCTAGACTGGGAGGTGGGCCTGCTGAAGGCGGTGGTCCACCGCCAAACAACATGGCTCCTGGTGGTGGCGCAGGGGCACCCATACCTCTCATTCCCCGATGAGAATATGAGGCACCCAAAAGCACTTGTGCTGATTGTTGCTGTTGCTGATACTGATGTGACATTTGCTTCATTGCGGAGATCGGTTGTAGAGGCACTTTAATGGTAGTCATGACACCATCCTTCATCTCTTCTCGCATTTCAATGGCAAGAAAAGACGTCTGCGAGGAGGCAACCTCAAACTTCAAAGCAAGAGCTAAACTGGCTTCTTTGCTGCCCGGTTGCGGGAAGGATTTTTCTTCAAAATCTCGAATAATGTGCTTGGCCGCCAGGCTGTGAAGAATACGGCAATCTGTGCGACTTGTAGTCCACGGGGTCACGTCAACTGGAAACGTGACCGTCTTGTCACTCATTTTGCCTTTCAGCGTGACTTGGCCTTGGTGTTGGCTGTCCTTGGACAGGAGTGCGAACACGATGTAGGGGGTGTTGTTGAAGATTGGCGCAAGCTCGCCCTGCGCCGGAGACTGGTGCGTCACCTGGAGTATTCCCCAGTCAATCTCCAGCTCTTCCAGCGTTGGCTCCATGGCCTTTGACAGCTGACTGATCACTTTCTCGTCGATTGGCTCCCCGTTGCGAATGAAACAGGCCTCCCCACGGCCGGCGCGAGCTACACCGCGGACGAGGTCTGCAGCAGCCCCGTCGCCAACTCCAAACGTATACACCCGTGTGCTCTGCGCATGCTGCTTGACGGTGCTGATGACCTCTGCGGTGTTGCCCACGGATCCGTCGGTGAGCAGAAACAGCTTGCGGTGGCGCATCGGCTGTGCGGCGGAGAGACCCATTGCACGGCCAATCATTCCTCCTGAAAGCCAAGAGCTGCCCTCAGAGAGAATGGCTTTCAGTGGCGCCAGGATTTCTGTACCACCCATGTTACTGGCAAGCTGCGAGACATGTTGCGTAGCTGTTGCCAGGCTGTCCGCGTTGTAAACTTGACTTTCGGGAAATAGCTTCTCGTAGCTGCTACCAAATCCCACGATGTTGAATGAACAACCTTCAGGCAAGCTTCTTAAGAACAACTGCAGGGCATCTCGGCACTGCTTGATGGGAGAGATGGTGCCACCGCCCCAGCCCATTGACCCGCTGCGATCCACCAGGAACACAAACTCCAGGTCTTCCGCTCTCTCGCTCATGGCCTCGTCAAACTCGGGCATGAACGTCAGCATGAGTGCCGCGCTGCCCTGGTCCACGTCCGCCTGACTTGATAGGACCACGGCAGGCTTGTGCAGCTCGGCATGCTCCACCCGTATGATCACGTCGCCGTCCATGGCCACTTTCTCTACGCCTAGCTTGGCCGTGCAGTGGCTCCGATCCTTGGGGTCGTTGCGGACGTTCAGCGGATGTGTGGACGATGACACACTCAAGATGTCACCGGGCATGTACACATCCACACTCAAGCTCAAGCCGTATCCCACACTGCTAATTCGGCTGTCCAGGTAGTTCGGCTGCGATTCAGCTTCCAAAGTCGCCCAGGCCGATGCAGGCATGTAGCGTTCCTTGATAGTTGTGGGAACACGCACGACAATGGCATCTTCCTCAATACTGCATAAACTGCTGTAGACGATACAGATCTCAGCTTCATTGCCAGCCTCCAGATTTCCCAACTGGACCTTCAACGCGCCGGACCCGGCCGTTTCCAGAAGAGCCGCTCCGTGGCCATGCGACAGCGCAGCAGTGTAGGCCTGACGTGCCTCTTGGCGCTTCTCAATCACTCCACGAACGGTACGCTGGCCCAGATGAGCCGTTAATCCGTTGACGGCAGCCTCATCGTCAACAGGGAAAACATAGATGGCCTCAATAGGATTAGGGGACGTATTCTTATAGCGCTGCCTGATCGTAACTTCGGCCAAGTTATTGAGTAACAAGCAATCGCACTGCACTCCTATCAGCGGAATATCAGGAGACGGGCGACCTGGGGACAGCGCGTTGAACAATCCCCAGAAATCAGGAGCGCCACGTGTGGCCATTTCGACCTGGGTGATAAATTCCTGTTGCGATAGTCGGAGCGGAGTGCAACAAAGTCCAGCACACTTTCTTTCGTCCGGTACTGTACAGTTCATAGAAGAGTTGTGCCCAACAAACTATCGACTATCGTGGTGTCGGTATAAAGTACATGACTGTAGTATTAATTTTATAACTAGTGTTCATGAATAGAGCTACATGTACTATGACTGTACTTAGTCTTTGGATGAAGGCCTTGCCTCTTGCTGAGTCTGGGAGTCTACATGATTGTACAACAGTTCAAGCCTTCATCAAGTAACATTACTAGTACTACTAGTACTACATTTTGTACATGTAGTAAAAATTAGTTCATGATCTGAGACAGGATCTAGGATGGATAGTCGGATCGCGGACTCGGCAAAAGACCATGATGAAGACGGGCACCGATCGACAACCGCTCCCATAATTATAGCCTAGGCGTAGATCTACGATCGGACGAGTACTTCGAAAAATCGCAAAAAACGCGGAAAAAAACGCGGCCGCGGAATCGCAATTTTCCCCGGGGACAGACACTTCAAATCACGCCTTCATTTTTTTCCTGTATTTATAGTAGAAAATGTTGGCTTCTCGCGCGGCTGCATAGGCTACAAAGTACTGTCTGTAAAAGCCATAATTATAATAACGAAGTGCTAACTCTAACGAGTTCACGAGGAGAAATCTGTCGTTAAAATAGAAGTCGTTATACAGAAATCGATACATACTGTCCTATTGAGCGTTGAAAATGAGTGAGAATCGTTACCTTAATTTGGTACGCGTAAACTACAGTCAACTTCGCTTATAACGACACTCGGCGGGGCATCAAAAAGGTGTCCTTATTCGCGAAGTGTCGTTATACCCGAAGTCTCATTATATGTGTAGCGAATCCCACCGCTGGCACCATTTCTGTAGCGTATCCCACCGCTGGCACCAATTCTGTAACGGGCCGCAGTCTCTCTCTGAGGCAAATGCAGACGGGTCTCAGTGAACACACTGTTAATAATAAATTCTTACTGAACTAAACGGAAGACTACATTGTAAACATTAACTCTGGCTCTAACTCTAAACTGACATTACTGAAGGTTCTAACTGGTATCTCTAACTGGCATTTCTAACTGGCCTTTCTAACTGTAGTTTCTAACTGGCCCTTCTAACTGAACTTCTAACTCTCGTGTAGAGAATTGTGAACAGCAGCTTTTATAGGCAGACAGCATACGTGCTGCAATAGCAATGGTCACGGCAAAGGCTCAGCAGAGAGAAGAAGAAAGGTCAAAGTATGTTGTGTGGGCTACAGTCATTGCACAAGGACTGCCATTTGATTCTATGCAGAAGAAGGAGCTGAATGCAGTGTGGGCAATGGGCGTAAAAGAGGCGGTTGAAAGTGCAGCAAAAGGTCTAGACTAGTATTTCTAAGGTCAATATGAAACATTGAACGCAGTGAGACTAGTTGCTATCCATGTCATGGATCTGCAAGCACGGTACAGAGTTGCAAGTGCGGGGTACGGGTGCGGTGTAACACGCGTGACCAATACATTGAAAGGGATTCACGCTGCAGCTGTGTGATCACCAGCGTGCCAACGCTACATATGTATTACAATGGGATGGGACTTTGCTCTGGGCATGGAAATTCTGTCGCTATTCGCGAATTGTCGTTATATCCGCAGTCGTTATTAGCGAAGTAGTCAATTTTGGGAAATCGTTATAAGTATCTAATATTGACTGAGTACGAGGTCAATATACATTGTAGGAAATAAAAGCCGAGTAAAAGACCGAGGCGAAGCCGAGGTCTTTTACGAGGTTTTTATTTCCTATACTGACCAAGTACGAAGTCAATATTAGATTTATCACGACAAACAGTCCGTATTTCAAATTCCAGAACGATAACATCACGAATCCCGGTTTTACGATTGCACAACCGTTGCACCACCACCTACTCATGCAGTGACAATGCTGCACTAGGCACCGTTCAACTGCGCAACCCCTAAGCAGTCAAATATAAGCAGTCAATATAGCCCTAAGGAGTGAAATATGCAGGAATATTTGACTGCTTAGGTATGGCAAAAATCTATGCGAGTCAATACTAAGGGAGTGATAAAAGCCATTATTCTAACGACGCGGCGCATATTATGCGCCGCATCGTTACTCGACGTTAGAATAATGGCTTTTACAGTAGTACACAAACAAAAGAAGGCATCTAATAATGAAAATCGGGACTGTCAAATGTGTCATCATGGCTTCATGGTCATGACTGTGTCGAGTGTCGACAGACTCGTAATACTAATAGTCATGTACTAGTACAGTAGTAGTAGTAGTACTAGTCAGTGTCATACTCATACTGTCATGACTATACGTACATACATGATTGTAGTCCTGCATTTTTTGTGGAAAGATTTTATGCGATGCACAAAAAGCAGTCGTGGAGTACTTGCGAAAACTCGTCCTTCGCTTGTTGGTGTAGCCGGCTGGGTCTGGGGAGCTAGCGGGCACTTACTGCTGTTGCCAGTGTTGGTTGTGAGATGATCATCTTGCAGCCCTAAACTACTTGTCGACTGGAAGACGAGCGAGTAGTAGTAGCAGTAGGTGGGGAGCAGCCACCGGATCTTCAGCCTGAAACTGGACGGTCAGTCAGTACTGCATTAGCTTGGCTTTGGGTTGTCCGCTCTCCTTACCAGCACAGCAGCGCAGTGCGTGTGTGTGTACGTAGATTTTTGTGTGGTTCAAAGACCGCAGTCTAGGTCGCCTGTGGATGCTCGCTCCTCTTGCCTGACGTTCAGCTCAGCCATTGCCCCGTTGCAACGAAACCAGCGTGGACCTTAGCAGTCTCACAGAGGGAAAGTTTGTCGGCCGAAGTTCCAGCTACCATGTTCGGTTGCATAGGCTTTCGACATGTGGAGCAGATTGACCGACGGCACTCCGGGGTGCAACGCTTCCCCGAAGATGCTTTCCGTCACCATCGCAAGCTGAAGTCCCTACTATTGGACGGGAATAACATCAAACAAGTGCCTAAGGTAGACGTCCTACTATCTATGCTAGATTGCTTATCGAGTTGAAGTGCTCCTCCGTTTCACACATCAATTTTTTCTGGGCAATGCAGTGAGACGCCTGGCGTGACTGTGTGCGTTCACGTCGTTATCACTTATTCGTTACCTATAATAATGTTTTGTTCCGTTTTGTTCATCTGGTACGACCTTGGCCTTGTGGTTGCTGCGATTAGCTTCGTAATACTAATAGGAATTTGTTTTGCAATGGCCTGGGGTCCAGATTACAACGTATCCTCCTATCATGTTTGCGTAGCTTCTCATGGCAGCAAACTATTTTTTTATACGCATAGATTTTCGTTTGTTTGTTGTGCTGGATGTGTAGAACGTGTCGACTCTGTCAAAATTGGAGCGTCTCTCACTCGCCGATAATGAGCTGACTGGAGTGCCGGCGGATATCTTTCGCCTTGGACGTCTGCAAGAGTTGATCATCAAAAGCAATGGTAAGTCAACTGGCTTCGTACAGTATCGCAGCGTCGCCCGGCATGAGTCATCGCGGCGAACCATATTGGACAAAATAACGCTCACTACCCAAAGTTGAAACGCTACGTACCTCGATCTTGGGAAAGAAAGCGAGCGAACCTCCCACAGAGCGTTCTGAGTGCGGCGACATAGCAGGATTGGACGTAGACTACGTGCTGCGGAGACGTACAGTGTTTTCACGATAGTCTGAGTCTGGAAAGACACTACTTCTGCAGCGCTTGTTTTCGTAGAGCCCCCACTCCATTGCGCTATCAGGAGTGTTAAGCTAATAGCACCAGTTATTGTTCTTCGTCCCCGGTCGACATTTCCTGAGCCAATCAAGAATAGGACCACACCACTGTCAGTGACTCACCAGCACGGCAGCAGTAATACACACAGCGCATTGCCACTGGCATTGGACAGAGGCAGAGAGGGCTTTCCTGTGCAAGCAGACAGTTACTGTTCACGTGGGGGCTAGTTCTCAAGTTACAACTACGGTGGCTTGAATCAGACTGATACTGGTAGTGGTCTATTCCAAGATGCTCCAATTGTTTGACACGTCTCCAGTGGCGACTACTAGTATCCTTGCGATATACTAGTACATGCAGATCAGAGTAATCATGCAGCCATGCTCATTACATTGCGTTTCGATTCTTGCCTTCATGTTGTGGAGGAATGAAAAGTGTGCACACGTACACACACGCACATGCACGCGTACGCATACACACACACACACACACACACACACACACACACACGCAACATGTAAGCACACTGCGCACATGTGTGTGTGTGTAGTGTATGTGTAGTGGTGGTGTGTCCGTATGTGTGTGCGTATGTGTGTGTACACCTGTTTCCTGTTTCACACTGTATCATTATGCTCACATGTCACCTTCTAACAAGAGGCAACAGACGTCCAGAATCACATACATCTACACACACGCACACATACGTAGGTATTCACACTCTCTTATACACACACGCCCACACACACACACACACATACACACACATGTTTTGCATTAATCAACGCTTTTGGATGATTGTGTGAGAGCACAACTAAAGAGGTAGGAGCCTAAAAGGCTTCAAATGCACGTGAAAACATTTCGAGAGGAAGGGGAGTGCAAGCCACAGGTGACTCCGTTTGCGTGTTATCAGACGGTAGCATTCAAGTCAGAGTATGGAGTTCTTGCGATTACATCATCAGCGATGCACTAGCCACTCACGCTGTTCACATAGCACCCGTAGCGGTTCGGCTGACTTGCACTGTATTATTATAGCGCCCATAAGCAGTTTCGCTGACTCAAAACCATGACATCATTCGCATTCAGCACGAGTGCAATGCCACATTGTCAGTCGTACAGTAGCTGCTGTGGATACTTCCAATCTGATGCCGCGAATGGCGTGTAGAAGACGAATATGTCACTGCTGCTCATCAGTTCTAGCCATATGCAGAGTTTGTATAGTCTGGTGCATGCACACATGCTCCTCACCTTTCAGCATAGCAGATTGTTGAGGACATCAGCTCACTGCATTACTGGTCTATATTATCAACATGGAATACATACCCTGTGGAACCCTGGTGATCTCGTGTATGCTAACAGAACATCTGTCAGTGTCATGCATAACATTTCCACTGATCGTGCACTTATGGA